TTCAGCACCTTTGTCAAAGATAAGGTGGCTTATTGTGTCTGGAGTAGTTTCTGCATTTTTAAATCTGTTTCATTATTCTTTGGATCTGTTTTTGCCAGTACCATGCTGTGTGTGTGTGTGTGTGTGTGTTTGAGATGGTGTGTTGCTATTCAGTTCAGGTTGGCCTTGAGCTCACTTTGTGGTCTGGGCTGGTCTCAAACTTGCAATGATCCTCCTGGTTTAGCCTCCCGAGTGCTGGGATTACAGGATTACAGATGTGTCCTACTATGCCCAGTTTGTCTGTCTGTCTCTCTCTCTCTCTCTCTCTCTCTCTCTCTCTCTCTCTCTCTGTGTGTGTGTGTGTGTGTGTGTGTGTGTGTGTGTGTTTAATCACAGTAGCTTTGTACTATAACTTGAAGCCAGGGGTTGTGATGCCCCATCTTGACTTTGTCACCCAGGGTTGCCTTTGCTATTTAGCTCTGTTCTGGTTCTGTATGAATTTTAGGATTGCTTTCTTTAATTCGATGAGATATGCTATTGGACTTTTGATTGGGATTGCATTGAAACTGTAACAGCTTGGCCAAGTATGGCCATTTTTAGTATATTGGTTCTTCCTAGCCAGGAACATGGGATAGCTCTCCATTTTCTAATACCTCTTTAATCTCCTTTTTCAGAGTACTGTAGTTTTCAATGTAGAGATCTTTTACATCCTTTATTAGATTGATTCCTAGGTACTTCTTTTTTTTGGATGCTATTGTGAAAAGTGTTGTTTCCCTGATTTCTCTTTCAGTTTATTATTCATGTACAAGAAGGCTATTGATTTTTGAGTGGTAAGTTTGTATCCAGCTACATTACTAAATTTGCTCATTAAACCTAAGTAGTCTTTTTAGTGGAGTTTTTGGATTCATCTATGTAGAGTATCATGTCATTTGCAAATAATGATAGTTTCTTTCTTTCCTATCTTTATTCCTTTTGTTTCTTTCTCTTGTCTAATTGCTCCAGCTACAGTTTCCAGGACTGTGTTGAATTAGGAGTGGAGACAGTGGACATCCTTGTCTTGTTTCTGGTTCTAGGGAGAGAGTTTTCAGTTTTTGCCCATTTAGTGTGATGTTGGCTGTTGGTTTATCGTACATGGCTTTTATCAGATTGAGATAATAAAGACCATTTATTCCAATTTTCTGTGAGGTTTTTTTTTTATCATGAATGGGTGCTGGACTTTGTCAAAGACATTTTCTGCATCTATTGAGATGATCATACAATTTTTTGCCATCAACTCTGTTAATATGGTGTATGACATTTATGGATTTACATATGTTCAAACATTCCTGCATCCCTGGAATGAATTCCACTTGATCATGGTATATACTCTTGGTGATTTGCTGCATTCTGTTTACTAGTATCTTTTTTGTTGTGGTTGATACCAAGATGAAACTTAGGACTTGAACTTTTCGCTAGAGCCACTGAGCTAAATCCCCAGTCTCTCAATTCTGTTTTTTTTTCTTTTTGGTACTGGGAATCAGACTCAGGACTTTGAGCTTGTTAGGCAAGCGCTGTGCCCCTGAACCATATCCTCAGCCCTGTTTGCCAGTATCTTACTGAGGATTTTGCATCTACATTCATTAGGGAAATTGGCCTGTAATTCTGTCTTAGTTGGATCCCTCTCTGGTTTTGGTATCAGAGTAATGCTTGCTTCAAGGAATGAATTTGAGAGTATTGCTTCTTTTTCCATTTCATTAGCGAGTCTGAGAAGTAGTGGTGTTAGTCTTCTCTAAATTTCTTATAAATTTCAGAGTGAATCAGGCAGAGCCTGGGCTTTTCTTTGTTGATAGGTTTTTAATTACATCTTCAGTTTCATTGATTGATAGTGGGTTGTTAAGGATTTTTATATCTTCTTGATTCAGCTTTGGTAATTCATATGTATCTAGGCATCTGTCCATTTTTTCTGTATTTTCCATCTTACTAGAAATTGCAAGTTTTCAAAGTAGATATAGATGATATTCTGAATTTCTGCACTCTTGTGATTTCACACTTTTCATTCCTAATTACATGTATTTGAGTTTTTTCTTTTGATAAGGTTGGATAAGGGTTTCTCAATTCAGTCTTTCAAAGAACCAACTCTTTAATTCATTGATTCTTTGAATTTTTTAGTCTCTAATGCATTAATTTCTGTTCTGATCTCTATAATTTCCTCCATTGTACATACAAAATTTTGGCTTAAGCTGCTCTTTTTCTGAAAGTTTGAGGTTCACCTTTAAGTTGTTTATATACACTTGCTTTGTTTTCCTGATATGGATATTTACTGCTATAAATTTTCCTCTTAAGACTGCTTTGTGTTTTATAAGTTTCAGTATGTTATATTATTGTTGTCATTCAGCTGTAAAAATTGTCTCATTTCTTATTTAATTTCATCTGTGACCCATTGGTTGTTCAGCAGGGTGCTATTGAATTTCCATGTGTTTATGAAGTTCTTGCAGTTTCTTGTGCCTCAGACAGTCTTCCTTAGCCTCTAGCCCACTCCACCTCTGAGCTGCAGACCCAGCCACCTCATCTGGGGGTTCAGAGTCTCCTTTGGGCTTTAGCTCCTCCATTGTTGCCCAACCTGGGATGCACAACTGAGAACCATTGAGAATGCCATGTGGTTATTTTTGTGCTACTGCACCTGACTTAACTAGTTACTACAGCTCACATGTACTGAAAGGGTAACATGTTTACTCTCTAGCCCTCGTATATTGTGGCGAACCTCTCATTGTTTTGTTTTCTTTCAGTAGAATGTGAACTCCATAAAGATAGAGATCTTTCTTTTGTTCACTCATTCGTGTATCCTACTATTTTCTCTAAATATTTGAATAGAATAAAAAGTGGATTACTTTATATTATATAATGGAATGTTTAATTTTCAAAATATAGGCAACACTTAAATACTGTGCCATGTGAAGTATAGGTTTGTTACTCACATTTAACAATAGGATAAAACTGCGATTGAGAAAATCAACCAAGGTTATGCAGTTGAATACATGCTAGATCTGGGATGTGATCCTTGGAAATCTGACTTTAGGATTGGTTCTCTATAAATTATGCTTAATGCCTAATCTATACTGCCCTTTTTTTTTCGTTTTTTTTTTTTTTTTTTTCTTTTTTTTTTGTACTGGGCATTACACCCAGGACCTTTACACTGAGCACTTTCCAAACATTTTTTCATTATGGGATAGGGTCTCAGTGAGTTGCTTAGTGAAGCATTATGGTGCCTGCCTGTAATGCCTGGGGAGGCTGAGGCAGAAGGATTGTCGTAGGTTCGAGGCCACATAGTGAGTTCATGGGCCAGCCTGAGCTACAATGAGATCCTGGCTCAAAAAATGAAACAACAGCCAGGAATTTAGCTCAGTGGCTTAAGTGCTTGCCTTGTAAGTGCAAGGTCATGAGTTCTGTCCCCAGTACCAAAAAGCAAAGACCAAGAAAATACCCCCCCAAAACCCCCTAAAACAAAGAAGTAGTAAGTTGCTAAATTGGCCAGGCTGAATTGAATTTATGATGTATCTGCTTCCTGCTTTGCTTCCCAGAATGCAGGAAATACAGGCGGGTGCCACCGTGCCTGATTCACACTGTCTTTTATAGAGGATACTTGGTCAGTTCTGCCTGGTGTGGTGGTGCATGCCTTTAATTCCATTATTCAGGAGGCTTGAGTGGGAGGAGCGTTGCTATGTTCAAGGCTAGCCTGAACGACAAAGTGAGGCCGCCTCTCTCTGTCTCTTGTCTCTCTCTCAAAAAAGATAGTTTTATTATGTATAATGGCATAATTTACTTTAGGAGTTTATGTGTCATCTTTTTTTTTTGATGCTCTTGTCATCAGACCTCAGTTTTGCCAAGAACAGGCAAAAACAGGTTGAACAGCTCTGTGCTTTACAAAACTATATTGGACTATAGAAAGCAAGGCTAGGAAATACAATGTTAGCATTTCTCTTTTTGATTACTATCTGTTGTATTTAACCTAATCAGGTTTAACCTTTTAAATGAGTTTTGAAATTAAAATTGGTAAACTAGAGCATAAATTTAATACATGTATTGGCCGTGTTTGAATATTACATTAAATTTTAACCTAAAGCAAGTTTCTTGATCATATGTATATTTTAAATATGTGGGTGTAAAAAATTAGAATTACTTTGAGAATAGGCATTTTTCTTTTGGAAATTAAGGAAATGATAGTGTATTTCTTCTCTTTTGTATTTTTCCTTCAAGTGCATTTACTTTTTTTATTATTTGATGTCCTGAGTTTCCATAACTAAGGGTCAGTTTAGGGTTAGGTTAAAAAACACAAACTTCCCTAAATTATTTAATGATGTTCTAATAAACCTTAAATTCTTTTTTTTTTTTTTTTTTTTTTAAATTTTGAGACAGTATCTCACTATGTAGTTCAGACTGGCCTTGAACTCACTGTGTGTCCCAGTCTGGCTGCAAACTGGCACCTGTCTTTGCCTCAGCCTCCTGAGTGCTAGTATTACAGGCATGTGCCACCTCGTCTAGCTATAATTATGTTCTGAGCAGTTCAATTTCCTGTTGACGTTAGAGTCTAAAGAAACCATATGGAATATTTTTGAATTTTTAAATTGTGAAATTATATTAAAGAACATTTTGAAAAAAGAAAAAAGCACTTTATTAGCCTAGCACAACTATTTTAGCATGTATCTTTCCAGTATACCTGCTGATATTTATTCTATGTACATGCAGTAGTGGAATTTGCAGTTTGGAAGAAACTAGGTGTATAACCATTTTTACTTAAAGAAACTGTGTGATTTGTGCATCATTTTTTTGTATCAGATCCTTCAGAATGCAAAGCAGCATCTTTCTGGCCTAATACAGATTCCAATTATACCATTATAACATTATGAATTTCTTTTACTTCTGTTTTAATATAACCAGGTATAAGGAAAACATCTTGCTATTAAATGGGAATGCATTTGAATATTGGTACACTGTTATATGTTTCCATATATTTATTGTGCCTTTCTTTTTACATTTTTATTCAGCTTTCTAAAACCAACTTTTCCAACAACAATGATTTCCGTGCTCTTCTGCAGTCTTTGTATGCTACTTTCAAAGAGTTCAAAATGCATGAGCAGATTGAAAATGAATACATTATTGGCCTACTTCAACAACGCAGCCAGACCATTTATAATGTACATTCTGACAATAAACTCTCTGAGATGCTTAGCCTCTTTGAAAAGGGATTGAAGAATGTTAAGGTGAGTTACAAAAATTGGTATGTAATCATCACAACTTGTGCATTTTGTTGTGTCATTGGCAAAATTCGTTAATTTATAATAAGTGCCTGTATGTTAAAATGTTCTTTCAGTTGTTAAAGACCTAGGAAGACTTTATCAATAGGTGTGAGTGCAGTGGGGCAGCTGGCATTGTGGAAGAGAAATGCACCTCAGCTCTGAGTGCAACAAGAAATTGGGAGAGGTGAATAGCCGTGGAAAAATGGTGGGGTCAATAGATGGTGATTACCAGGAGGAAATGTCAAGGCCGGGAGGATTCTGGCTAGATCAGCTCTACCATAGTTTTGCTGAAGGCAGGCCAGGGTGATAAGATACTTAGGATGAGTGGGAAGGAAAGAGGAATTTGATTAGATGTTGAGATAGGTAGAAACCTCAAGGTAGATTTTCACTAAACTGACTCAGCAGGTTTCTAGCTAAAACTGAAGACTCTGAAGTCGAAGTTCAGGCCGATTGAGGAGGGAACCGGGCTTAGGTTTTGTTACAGGTTTTATCAGTTGTCTCTAATAAGTTTTCAATAAAATTCTAGTGAGTGCTACTCATCATGACTTACAGGTGTTTTTGTAAGTTGAAATTTTAAGTACCATAAATTTGTTATATTCTGTTAACATTTGCTGAATTCTAAAGGAGAGTTATCACTGGAGATACTAAAGGTAAAACGATTACTTAAAGTGCATTTGCACTCTGTAAATTTTATCTTTTATAAAATTAATGGTGGCTCAGTAGTAGAGCACTTACCTAGCATATGTGAGGACTTGAGTGTGTCCCAGGTACCATTCAATAAATAAGTACAATGTTTGCTGAATTTTTTCTTGCAGGAAGCAGGGTAAACAGAAAAATTTTGGTTGTATAAAATAAAGTTAAACATATTTTTGATGTAGTTGAGGATAATGGTATAGATTTTATTAGGTTTTATTCTTAATTACTGTTGTTAATATCTAGTTGTCCCTCCAAAGCCTTATGAGCTCAAATATGGGGCTTTAGAAAGTTGATTAGATTATAGTAGATTATAGATGTTTTGCTTAGGCAGGGCCTAGTCACTGGGAGTTGGACATGGAAGGGTTTATCCTCCCTCCCTCAGCTCCTCTCTTTACTTTCTCTGCTTCCTGCGTGCCTTGCTACAAGCAGCTCCCTTCCACCTAGATCCCTCCACAATGCCTTTCTGCCTTGGAGCCGAGCAGCTGTGAACTAAGACCTCTGTAAACTGAGCCAAAATAAATCAGTCTTCCGTTAATTTATGAATCTCAGTAATGAAAAGGGGACTAAGATTTTGGTACCAGGAATAGGGTTATCACTGACTTTTCTTGAGCATGTGGTTTAGACACCTTTACAGCTGGTTTGCAAGAGGAGTTTGGAAAGGTTTGCAGATTTCAACTGGAGAGTAGCCTTAGATGACTGTGAGCTAAGCTTAGTGGGGGTTTTAGGTTGGAGTTTGGAAGTCAGAATGAAAATGTAACCGGTAAAAACCAGGCTCAAGAGGTTTCAGTTGGCAAGACAGATTCCATTGACAGTTGGACTTCAGACCATGTGTGTTCTTCTCTGGTAGAAAATTTTTCTATATTTTATTCCTGCCTGGATACTTCACAGGCAGTTGAGATTAAGGACAATGAATTAATTTGTGGGTAGAAATTTCAAGGCTGTCCAATGTTGAGGCTGCGGTATACATACTGTTGGGGACTTTTTAGCCAAGTTTATACTGAAAATGAAGAGTCCATTTAAAAAGTTACCAGCTTTGCCAGAAAGTGCCTACAATGATGGAGCAAAGGAGAACTTGGTTGATGAGAAGAGTAACATTAAAAAGAAGCCAAGTGTTGGGCATTGTGGTGCATGCCTATAATCCTAGTACTCGGGAGACTGAGGTGGAAGGATTGCTGTGAGTTCCAGGCCATCCTGAACTGAATAGTGAAACTCTGTCTAGAAAAGGAGGGGGAAAACAGCCAAGTACTATGAATTAGAACATTAGGAAAAAATGGCTTACGGGCATTTCATAAGTTCAGAATTGCAGAGGGAAAAGACTTTGCTTAGAAGGAGCCGTAGGTCATCTTACTCAAGAAGAGCCCCTTAGGTAATTGGTTCCCTGGGGTTTGGTTTACAGTGCCCAGCCATCCAGGCACTCAGAGGCCTCTACAGTTGTAATTCAAGGGGGCTTGGCTGCTCCTGGAGCTTGTGGCAGATCTTGGCATCCTCCATATGGTGCTGGTTTTACAGACATGCAGAATGCAAGTGTTAATAAAAGGCTTCTACCCAGATATCAAAACAAGGTATTGGAAGTGAGTAGTGTGCCCCTGAGAGGGTAGTGTGTGATACTGTGAGTGAAGCGGAAAGTGTAGTGGAGGGACACTGGGAAGGTAGAGAAGCCAAGGGTGTGGAATGTGTGAGGAAAAAGCTACAAGGAAAGAGCATAGCCATCCCAAGAGAGAAGCCATGAGAGGAACAGGAACTAGCCACGCTGTAGGGGCAAGTCTGCCCAAACCATTTGAAGATCAGGTGTCACTTAGGTGCTGTACACAGAGCTAAGGACTTTATGTTTGCCTGCTAGGCTTCAGTCTTGCTTTGGTTTTATTGGTTTCTGTTCTCTTTCTCCTTTTTGCAGTGGGAATGTTTACTTGGTGCCATTGTATGTTGGCACTGTTTAATTTCTTTCTGATTTTCACAGGGTCTTGAGTTTGCCTTAAGTCTTAGAGGTGACTTCAGGTTTGGATTTTACAGCTGTGCTGGATCTGTTAGGACTTCGGCAATTCTTAAAGGTGCACTAAATGTATTTTGCATAAAGAGATACATATGAGTGTTTTGGAGGCCCAAGGGCAGGGTGATGTTATTTGTATCCTGGTGTCCCTTCAAACCTACCTGTGCTGAAAAGTGGGGGTTGAAAGATAATGTAGGATTAGAGCTGACTTGCTGTTAGGCGGTAGAGTCTGATCAGAAGAGGCAGGTCACTGAGGTGGTGGCCTGGAAGTTTCTCTTCCTCCCAGGCTCCTCCCTTCACGGTCCGTGCTTCCTGTCTGCTATGCTCTGAGCAGCTCACCTTGGCCCTGCCCCTTTCATTGTGCCTGTCTACCTTGGAGACAGCTGATTGTGGACTGAAAGGTTACAGCCTGTGAGCCAAAATAAATCTGTCCTGTGTTTTATGGACACGAGGTATTGTGTGCCAGCAATGAGAAGATGACTCAGATAATTACTTTTATATATTATGAAATATTTGAAATTTGGTCTTGCTTTCCTTCTGGCTCAGTGAGCATAGACTTAAGTAACAAAACCATCCAGTGACTGTATGCCCACCTTTCACTTAGAGATTCTGTTCTACTGCGCAGCAGGAAAGAGGGTGGGTTGCAGGGAAGGAGAAGGGCTGCTGGTAGGGAATTCATAATCTCTAGAAGAATATTTCAGGACTTGGTAGGGAGGTAGGAGCTTGAGTGGGGTAGTGTTCTGGGTACTGATGGAAGAGAGATTCACTTTTCTATTGAATATTCTTTGTACTCTGAGTTTTTTTATATTCACATATGTGATGTGACTAGAAATGTGTATGTTTAATGAAGTGTGGTATGTGTTTGAACACACCCCACAGCATTCTTGCCCCTATTTGAAGCAGTATTGGAAGTTTTTTTGTGTGTGTCTGTTTATTTGCTCTGTCACAGCTGCCTTGATACTTTGAATTGTTTCAAACAGTTACCTTGCGTGGTAGTTGCTTTGAGGAAGAGCCTGAAGTCACACAGGTCTGCTGAATAAGGTAGATGAGGATGCTTTAATGTTTTTATGAGTCTGCCGTCTGTTGGATGGCACTTGGCAGCAGTAGGCACCGTACTTTTGATCACATCTTGTGTAGATACTCACAGAAGTGGATTTTAAATAACTGCTTCAGAATGTGGCAAGAGTAACGGGATAAGTGTGTGTTACAGTTAAGAGTCAGACTGGTGGCCAACTGATGGTGTATGTGCTGCAGTGGGCTGCTTGTATTGTTGAAAGCGCTGAAAGGTTCATCACCACTGATTTAGACTTGCCCCCCTAAAGTCTCCTGTGTTCACAGGTGGTGCTTTTAAAAGGTGATCAGATCATGGGGATCTGTACTTAAACTCCGCTAGTCCACTGATGAATCTGGACCAAAACGTGCAGTTAGGAGGTTGGGGGCTGCTTGGAAGAGGCTGGGTGCTATGGGTATCCCTCCCTGCTTGTTTCCAGGATAGCAACAGCTTTCCTCTGCCAGACTTTCCCTGTGCCCTCCCTGCCCTGGAGCTGACAGAATCTGGACTGAGACTTCTAGAAACTATGAGTTAGAGTTAGCCTCGCCTCTTCGTCCCAGGTGTTAAGTGTTGTGTCCAGAGGCAAGAAAGTGGCTAAGGTGGAAGCAATGGAGAGTATTTTGAAGTGAACTAATGGCAGTGTGTCTTTTATTGTAATACTTTTTAGTGTAAATAGGCATGCATTTTTTTGATTTTTATTTCCTTTATTGACTCCCTTTGTCTTCCATTCTTCTCTGCTCCCTCCATCTTTTGATCATTTTCCCATTTGAGAAAGATGTATTTTGTTTACCCCATATTTTTTATTTTGCTATTTAAAATTTGGCTTTCTCAGATAAGAGATACTGTGTGATATTTAAGCTTGTGTGTCTTTTTTTTAACATATGGTCCCTTTTCCTACAGATGATTCAAATTTATCTTTCTTTATGGCAAAGTAATACTTCATTGTGATAAATAACACATTTTCTTTATTCCATATATCTGTCAGTAGACATGTAGGTTGTTTAACTGTTATAAATTATGCTGTTTAAACATGAGTATGTATGCATCACTGTAATAAGTCTTTTAATTCTTCCAGGAAGATAGCTAGAAGGGGAATAGCTGGGTTGGAAGGAATTTTAATCTTTTGAGCAATCTCCGTACTGATTTCTGTAGTGGTTGTACTAGTTTACTTTCTCACCCACAATGTAGGGAATCCCCGCCTCACAGCCCTGCCAGCATTTGTTACTATTTGATTTCTTAATGATGACCTTCTTTCTAGAGTAAGACGGTATCTCAGTGTTTTTTTAATTTGTATTTCTTGAGTGGCCAGTAGTGTTGAACATTTCATCATGCATTAGCTATTTGTTCTACTTTTTCCCTAAAATGTCTGTTCATTTTACTTGCCTATTTTTTGATTGATCTTTTATTTAGGGGAATCTACTTTTTTGGAATTCTGTATATATTCTAGTTAGTAGTTCTCTGTCTGAGAACTAGTTGGCAATGGTTTTTTTTTAGGGGGGGGGGCATTCTGTAGATTTCCTGTCCACTGCTGAATGTTTCTTTTGCTATGCAAAAGTTTTTTAATTTGATATAATCCCATTTCTTGATACCATTTCCTGTGCAACTAGAGTTCTTTTTAGATAGTCCTTGCCTATGTCTATGACTTCAAGAGCTATACATATTTTATCTTGTAGCAGGCTGTTTTTGTTTTGAGTTCTTTGATCTGTTTTGATTTTAGTGTAGTACATGGTGGTGACAGATACGGGTCTAGATTCAGTCTACATGTAGATAACCAGTTTTCCTACCCCATTCATTAAAGAGGCGCTCTTTTCTCCTTGTTTTTGATTCCTTTGTCTAAGATCAAATAGCTGAATGTGCCTGGGGTTGTTCCATTGATTGTCATGTCTTTTTTGTTGTTGTTGTGTTTTTTATCTTTTTGAGACAGTCTCACTGTGTAGTCCTGACTGGAGTTGAACTCACTTTGTAGCCCAGGCTAGCCTCAAACTCTCATTCCTCCTGCTTCAGCTTCTCGAGTGCTGACATTACAGGCTTGTGCCTTCACTCCAGGCTCTCATGTCTGTTTTTGTGTCTGTGGCATGTTCTGTTCGTTTGTTTTGTTCTATATTTTTCCCTGTGGCTTTGTAATTTCAAACCTGGGATTGCAGTGACCCCTGGTTTGCTCTTACTGACCAGGATTGCTTTGTCATTCTGGGTGTCTTCTGATTCCATATAAAGTTTAGCGTTTCTTTCTCCAGCCTAGTAAAGAATACTGTTGATATTTTTGTTAGAATTGCATTAAATCTTTGTATCAATTTTGGAAATGTGGCTATTTGGACTATTTTCCTTCTAACTGTCCAGGAACAGGGGTAATTTTTTCATTTTCTGATGTCCTCTTTGATTTTTTTTTCCAATGCACTGTCTTTTTTTGTTGCAGAAGTCTTTCACTTTGTCAGGTTAATTCCTAAGTATTGAATTTTTCTTGGTGTTATTGTGAATGGTCCCCCCCCCCCCGGAAATTTTTCAGTTCATTATTAGTGTACAGGAATGATGTTGATTTTTGTATTTGTTACATTACTGTTGCTTTCATTATTCTGTGAGATTTTTGGGGGGGATCTGTTCAGAGAATCATATGATTTGAAAATAATGTTAGTATGACTTCTTCCTTTCTTATACATACCTTTCTTTTGTTTTCATTGCTTAATTGCTCTTGCTAATGTTTTGAGTACAGTGTTGAACCGGAGTGGTGATAGTGGATATCCTTGTCTTGTTCCTGATTTTAGAGGAAAAGCTTTCAGTTTTTCATCCTTTAGTAGACTGACAGAGTAGTTTTGTCATCAGTGGCTATAATGAGATAAAGTCCTTCTATACCTACTTTCTTCACTTTTTCTTATAAAGGGATATTGGGTTTTGTCAGAGGCTTTTCTTGTAACTGTTGAGATGATCATATGATTTTTGTCCTTGCAACTGTGATGCATTGTGTTTACTAATTTGTGTAGATTGAACCATCCTTGTATTCCTGGGACAAAGCCTTCTTGGTCATGGTGTATGATCTTTTTTGATGATTTGTTGCATTGTTTGCCAGTATCTTGTTGAGGATTTTTACATGTATATTCATTAAAGATATTGGTGTACCTCTTTTTTTATTGTTGTTGTTGGATCTTTGTCTGTTTTAGAGTCAGGGTAATGTTAGCTTTTGGAATGACTTTGACAGTACTCCTTCCCTTTCAATTTCATTACAGAGCTTGAAGAGTTTTGGTGTCAGATCTTACATGAAGTATTTGGTAGAATTTAGTAATAAACTCATCCAGACTTGGGCTTTTCTTAGTTGGTAGGGTTTTTATTTGTACTTCAGTCTCACTGCCTGAAGAGATTTGTGGGCCAGATATGGTGGGTTAGGCCTGTAATCCTAGCACTCAGGAGGCTGAGGCAGGAGGAGTACCATGAGTCTGTGCTAGCTTGGATTGCATAGTGAGTTCATTGTCAGCTTGCACTACATAGTGAGACACTGTCTCAAAAAGTGGAAAAAAAAAGGAAAAAAAGATTTGTAATTCTAACATAGCATCTGTGTGATTCAGAGACACAGACACAGGCAAACTAAATACTGACACATAATTAATACCTGCTAAATGCAATAAGTGTACCATCATTAAAATAGGAAAGAATTCATTGATGACAGCATAAACTTAACTAAACAATAAAACTTAATGGTTATACACATAAAGAGCGTAGAAACAGGAGAATGCAAGAAGCTTGAAAATTAGGATGAGGAGATGAGAAAAGTGACATAAAAGATTCTATTAAGCATATAAGGAAATCAGTAGAATTAGCTAAAAGTATCAGTAAAGAAGAAATAGAAAAAGCAGTAAAATAAAAAAATGAAAATAATAAGAAAGGAAAAAAAAAAAAAAAAGAACTACATCCTGAACTGCTAAAAGAAAAAAAGAAGAGTCCAGATTCCTGCCTGTTTTTGAAGGAATGCTTTCTTTCTAGGATCTGCAGGGTTGGAATCTAGTAGACATGAGAGAAGGATAGGATTGACTACTGTGACCTGGTTGTATTCCACACTGGGTGGTTTTGTGTGTGAATTCTGAATCCTGCTTTGTCTTTCCTGCTTGGTACGGGAAGTCAGTGGTATACACCATGAGGCTGCAGTCGGTCTGGCAGCTTTACTTCCCATGCTCCTTTGTGCATCCCAGGTCACAGCTTTCTCTGCCTAACCTTCTGCCTGTGGTTCTCAGAGGTGTGGTCTCTTGCTACCATGGCCCCTCTGTCCATATACCCCGGGCTGTGGCAACCATCAAGCCAAAGTATATGCTCATGTTGGCAGGTGGGAAAAGCAAACAGATCAGTGAGTTCTGTGCTGGTTGCAGACAGCAGAACAGGGCTTTGAGCTGACTGCTATATTTAATGCCTGTGCTTCCAGACCCAGGCCCCTCTGAAAGTCCTCCATGCCTACCTGGCTTCTGACCATTGGTATGGGTTTACTTGTCCTTGCCAGCCTGAGCTTAAAGTTCTCAGTGGTGACTGTGTCTGGCCTGCATCCCCTCTGCAACTGTCTTCTGGCCTTCTGCCCTGTCCCTGTAGTAAGTGACATCAGGAGCCCTGAAACAGAGTTGTTCTGTAATTACCCTTAAATAATGAACTTCTTCCCAGAATGACTCCTGATTAAACCCTGTCAAATATCCTGGATGCTGCTCTGGATTTCTCTGACTCCAGTCTTCTCTGGAAAAGGAATTATTTTCCTTTTTTTTTTTTTGAGACAGGGTCTTGCTGTGCAGTTCAGGGTGGCCTCATTACGAGCCCACGCTAGCCTCTAACTTGTAGCAGTCCTCCTGCTTCAGCCTCCTGAGAGCTGAAATTGCAGCCATACACCACCACACTCAGCAAGAATTATTTTCAAAGTCAAGGCCCGCACTGTTTTCTCCAATTTCCAGTACTCATAGCCGGTGCTGCCAGCTGGCTATTATTTCTTGCTGGGGCCTCTGACCTCCCGGCTAACCTGGTTTCAGTGGAGACTGATCTCCCTTGTCTGGGGGAGCTTTCTAGACTGCTTCATTCTTTTCATTGCTTGTGCTTTGTTTCTCTAGCTACTCTGTAGTTCTAATTTTCCTGTCAGCTCCCTCCTGATTCCTGGAGATCTATTTTTTTTCTCTTTGCCAAGTTGTTTTCCAGGTGCCCAAGTGTTTCGATGCCAGATTGTGAAAAGGCTGAATTTTGCTGCTGGTCTTTATTCTGCCATGTTTAATCCTTTTTGTTTTTTGGAGACAGAGTCTTTATTTGTAGTGCAGGCTGTTTTGAGTCACTGTGTACCCCAGGCTGGCCTCAAACTCACGGTGAACCTCCTGCCTCAGCCTCCCAAGTACTGGGATTATAGGCATGCACCACCATCCTTGGCTACTATGTTTAATTCTTTAGCTTTTGTACTAAAAGTACAGAGACCATTTTGTTATTTATCAGTGCCCCCTGTCCTGGCCTGAGGTTTCTTGTCACCTTTTAAGACTTACTTTCTTGGTGCCAGGCATAATATAAATAATGAACAAAACTTTGATAGCATATCATTTTTTGATTCCAGAATGAATATGAGCAGTTAAATTATGCAAAACAGCTGAAAGAGAGATTGGAGGCTTTTACAAGGGATTTTCTTCCACACATGAAAGAGGAGGAAGAGGTAAGCACGATTTTTTTTTCCCATTGTGATTTAAATTTATAAAATTTTTACAATGCCATTTTGCTTTGGAGTTTCGAAATAATGCATAGGATGGTAAGTGCAGTTAATGGAGAATAGACTTTAGCTCCTTTTGGTAAGTGAAAACAAATACCAGGGGGAAAATTAGTTATCAAAAAGGTTGTTGCCTTTAGTGAATGAATAATTTGGTCTCATTTACTCCAGAAATGTATATTTTCATGTGTAGTTTTCACTGTTATACATGAATAACCTTTTATATCCCCTAGTGTCTTTTCAGAATCTGTTGATGATTATATAAATTTAAAAATATATTTATGCTGAATTTAAAGACTTTAATAATGTATTTTTGAATAATGGAGTTTAGAAATCAAGTTGTAGTTTTAAGTTTATCAGTCTTCTGACAAATGTATATGTATTAGAATATCGTTGGGTGAGAACAACATTTCCTCTCTCTCTACTATGGGATGTGTATCATGGTAAGATACAAAGTATTTTATAAGAAAACAGTTAATTTTTTAGCTGTTATTGTAGTGATTCTCAACTGTGGTTTCACCTTATAATCAAATTGGTAAATTAAGAAAATATACAGATGCAGGGCTCTAATTCCAGCACTCAGGATTGCTGAGCCAGGAAGATCACACATTTGAACCTAGCCTGGAAAACTTAGTGATTTCATAAAACCCTGTCTCCCAGTAAAATGGAAACCCTGTCTCATAATGAAATAGAAAAAGGGCGGGGACTGTAGCTGTGTGAAGTTCCTGGATTCAAAACATAAACGTGCAGGTAAGCCCTTTGGGAGCCAGTTCAGTCAGTGGGATGAATTGACAGGGTCGTCTTGAAGGCTCCCTAGCTCCCTGCGGTACAGCGCGTGCAGTCAGCATCGTAGTCACTGGGTTACTCCAGTGGTCCTCCTTTTTGGTTCTTTTTTTCTTTTTTGAGGTAGGTTCTTGTTATGTTGCCAACACTGGTCTTAAACCTGTGATTCTTCCACCTCAGACCCCAGGTAGCCTTTATTACACGTGTGCACCACTGCATCTGTCTTAGAGCAGTGGTTTTCAATCTGTGATGTGCTTTCCAGTTACCTATGAAACAGCAACAACAAAAACTTTGGTTCCACCTGTAAAACTTATAAATTGAAGGTTGGCACTGGGCATCTATTTTGCAGAAGAAATCTTCATGGATAATTCTCAGAGGAACCAGTGCACTAAAATACTGATTTGAGGGTGTATCTCCAAAGTTCAGAAACAGTAGTGGTCAATGTCCCAGTAGACATGTGACTTTTGTTTCCAGTGTACTGGGTATCATTCTCATTTGAGATAGGGGCCCTGTATTACAAATTTTGTAAAGGAAAATCTTGTCCTGATGCTGTAAAATTTTCAGGCTCTGATTTATTGGGGAAACGACTTAAAAAAGGACTTTGGGGGACCATATTCTTTGCTTCTTTGAATAAACTTAATAGTAATAATAGTAATAACTGAATTTGTGTCTTTGACATATTTGGTCATAATTCTACACCTAAGATACTAACTGTTTTAATGTCTACAGAGTGTAGAATAAAATTAAGTAGCTTCCCTTGGAATGTCTTTTAATTTAGGTTTTTCAACCCATGTTAATGGAATATTTTACCTATGAAGAGCTTAAGGATATTAAGAAAAAAGTGATTGCACAACACTGCTCTCAGAAGGACACTGCAGAACTCCTTAGAGGTCTTAGCCTGTGGAATCAGGCTGAAGAACGACAGAAGTTTTTCAAATATTCTGTGGATGAAAAATCAGATACTGGTGAGAGAGTGTATTTAGAGAATAATTTATTAGCTCAGTACCATTGACAGTGTTAGAATTTGTAGATTTTATCTGAGGAATAATTTAAGTCAGTTAAAAGCTGTTTGTTTGTACTTGTAAATGTAATTGGAGAACTGGGTATGTGGCACATTCCCCTAATTCCAGCACTCAGGAAGCAGAGGCAGAAGGATCTCTTTGAGTTTGAAGGCAGCCTGAACTATAAAGTGAGACTCTGTCTCAAACTAAATAAACAGAACATGTAGCTGAAGATAGTAGGTTCTATTTTAAATGTAGTGTTTTAATAATTTAACATGTACTCGGGCCATATGCAGTGCAGTGTTTCTTGGATAAATTTGTGTGTGCACATTAATAATTGTTTTTTGGTCTAATCAGAATTGTTGAGAACTACCACGTACAGAACACCTTTGCAGTATCCTCAGACTTTCCAAGCTCCACTTACCATAGTGGCTGCTTTTATCTTTCTCTGTGTTTTTCATGACTCTTCAAAGCTGTAGTTCCTGACCTACTGTGGTCCAACTTATAATTTCTTGACGTTACAAGAAAGATGGTTCACATACCATAACTCTGATACTGAATTTCATCTTTCCTGGCCACCTGTGTGCGGTGTCGCGCTCCCACCCAGCCCTTTGGTCACAGGGAAGGAGGTGCAGTGGTGCTGCAGCACCATGGCGCTGAGCCGTGAGGAGTTTCACAGCCTCGGTGCGCTCAGTGCATTTTCATCCTTGGATACCTTCTGCTGCTGATGGGTTTACTGGGACGTAACCCTGGTGTAGTCAGGGAACACCGCAGTTTACGTCCGTCTTTCCCTACTTGCCATTCTTAGTTTATACCTGGTGATACTCAGGGCACTGTAGGAGAGGGGGTGTTTTTTTATGTGTAGTTAATTTGCAAATACAAGTAAGAAATGCAGATAATGTGTGCTTGCCTTTTTTTCTTAATGGGTTACTTCTTCCTTAGTTTTTCTATTTGTCTTCAATAGCCTTTCTCTTTAAAACACTCTTCAATAAACAATTGGCATCCTTAGGCTAATAAAAATCTTCTGCTTTTTCTAGATGGGCAATAGCAGTGTCATTGCTGTTGAAATAGTCTACAACTTTTTTTAAACTGATCTTTTCTCATTTTACTTAGCAAAGTAGCTGAGATTCATGTTGAAACAAAAATGATTGTATAAGTTAGGCTATGATTAAACCCATAAAACTTGTATGTAAGCTTTACTGTGTAAGGCAGCTTGTGCCTTAGCTACCAAGCTTAAGACCTGTTGCATCTGGTTTAATTGTAGTTATAACTTGAGATTTAAAAGCATCACACTTATTATATTTAATTTTCCCAGTCCTTCAAAGCAAATTGTCTTGCGTTGTGTCTTAAGATATTTTACATTTAAAAAGTGTTGCAGATTTGGTCATAGCATTTCTATATTTAAGTTGCTTTGTAAAGATAACTCAGATATATGTAATGTATGAATGGAAAATGGGTATGTCATTCAAAATGCCTTGCAGATCTCGTAATCTGGCTGACTCTACTACTGTTGATTTAAAGCTGTGTAACCTGTTTGGTTCCTTTTTCAAATGATGCTACTTATACTATAAAGTGAGTATTGTTTTTTCTGTGATGTCTTTGTAAGAGGAAGTCAATTCTGTGTTCATTTTGTAGCTCTCACTGAAGAAGTGTGATCTGGGCTGTGATAGTTTAACTACGAGTTCTTGACAAGCTCAGCATCTGCATGTTACCTCTATTAGGTGTTACTTCCTTTTCACATCCTGTAAGCAGAAAGGAATTAACTTCAGGCACTGTGCTTTGCTTATAAAGCATAATTTTAATTTCTTACTACATTTGCTCTTACAGCCTTTCCTGCTAAAGTTTTTTTTTTTTTTATAAATTTCAGAAGCAGAAGTGGCAGAGCACTCAACAGGTATAACCCATCTTCCACCTGAGGTAATGCTGTCGATTTTCAGTTACCTTAATCCTCAAGAATTATGCCGGTGCAGTCAAGTCAGCACCAAATGGTCTCAGCTGGCAAAAACTGGATCCCTTTGGAAACATCTTTACCCTGTGCATTGGGCCAGAGGTAGGTAAATGGGATTTTTAATTTGTTTTAAAAATATGTCAGTACATTTTTCTAGATGAATACTCATAGTCATTGAGAAGGGTAGGAAGAGAAATTCTTGAGATCATTGCCAAAAAATGCATTTCATACTTAAAAGATATGTTCTTGGTATATATTTCAGAAAAGATAGCAGTGCTGAAGTAGCCATGTGAATTATATGATGTCTACCATTGTCTTCAAAATAGTAAGAAAAAAACAATTGGAAAAGGGAATTTAAAAAATTGGAAAGACTGATAATTATTGAAGTAGCTGTTGAATGCATGGGAATTCGTTATAATAATTCTTTCAGCATTTGACTGGAGTTTTTCATAGTAAAAGGTTAAAAGTAAATGTCACAGATTTTCAGAACTGTCTACATAATTAGTTTGGGTATTCTAAAAGTACAGAATAAATTCTATGAAGTTGTGTGTGTGTGTGTGTGCACGTCTGCACACGCGCGTGGTTGGTAGTTCTCATTCTCTGAATCATAGTCTCATACCCATTTCATTGTGGTAAGTTACTTTCACATGTGAACAGTTAAAAATTTTTTTCTTGAGGATATAATGGATCATGGGTTAAATGCAAGTAATATGATCCACGTTTTTCTGTCACTGAAGTAACACTTCTATGTGAGTATTAACTCAGAATTCATATGAACTTTTAAAATAACTTTCTCTTACATGTGGCTGTGTGACTTTTAACATGCAAATATGAATGTCACATAATTTTCTCTGACTAAATTTAAGTCTTGAAGCAGTTTGTTACAGTAATATGTAGGACTTTTTTTGTGTCTCTTGGTTTGTTTGTTTTTGAGGTAGGGGCTTGTGGTGTTACCCAGGCTGGTCTGTAACCTGTTACCCACCTTCTTCAGTGTCCTGCAAGCTGGAACCACAGGAACATGGCATCTCAGCTTGTAGTGTTTTAAAAATAAGTGGTAGATACTAGTTTTATTTATTCATTTTTCTGTTTGTTTATTTGATACTGGGAGTCAAACTCCAACCTTATGCTTGCCAGGCAGGTGCTGTGCTTTTGAGCTACATCCCCAAACCTATTTAGTGTTTCTTGAGTAAAGCTATTTGGAATATTGCAATTGACTTGTATAATTCAAATGAATAGAATTATCTTTATGTGAATTAATTTTTAATAGGATGATGGAATATTGAGTAAAAAGGCAAATATGGATGTATGAAGTACTTTTACTAAGGTTTCTTTCTTATCAAATGTGATTTCCTCTGCTAACTTTTATGAAGTCACCTGAATTTTAAATATGGGTTTTTTTTTGTTTCTAATATATGTAAACAAAAAATCCTAGTAATATGTTTATTTATGGCATTTGTATTGAGTGGCTTTACCTTCTTCCAATGTATACTTAAATATCTGGAAGACAGTTTTGCTTTTTCTGTGTTTGGATATTATACTGGAGTCTAGCAACCTGGGTTAGAGGTCAAGATTGTGCCAATCATACTATAGCCTCTAGGTCACCCACCACAGAATGGAAAATGTCAGTGTTCTGTAGGTTGAGAAACTTTGAGTTAGATGTAATGTTAAAAGTTTAGTAAATTCTGTATTGCCTTACTTCATGATGATATAATTTAGTTGCAGTATAATCTCCAGGGTCTAAAAATGTATGCTTTTGCTTTACCTTAATTTTTCCTTTTTGAGTCCACCCACATTTTTCTGACTTGTGCTTGTCATCGTAATAAGGCTATTGCTGAAGCCACTGTGAAGCCACAGTAGGGGAAAAAGGTTAGGCTGCTTCAATGACTTTTAAAAATTGCCTGTAAGACTATTGATAATTATTTTCCTTGGAAATGGAATTATAACCATTGAGCTTATTTGTATAAAAGGTGAACTTGAAAAACCTTGTACATAGAGAGTAGATATATAGCAGGCATATAGCAGACTATAAGTTTTTGTAATTATTTTCCATAGTTTTGAAGAGTAAGGTTTACTTTGGGAAAATGTCAGTTGTTGTATGGTTGGTTAATAATTTTATCTGAAGTCACACCATCAGTTCTTTTCAGTGCATTTGAAATTGAATGCTTTACTTACTTAAGTGTAGTTTGTAAGTGATTCTAAAAATAGCTATTTCATTGTCTGGGGCTAGTACATCTTTTGTGTATAGAGATTTTTATTGTAAATAGGTATCTTTGTTTGGTAAAAATAGATTTCTTATCTTACTTTGTAACTCTCACTTGTTTGTTCACCGAGTAGGGGACTGGTACAGTGGTCCTGCTGCTAACCTTGATACTGAGCCCGATGAAGAATGGGTGAGAAGCAGGCGAGATGAGAGTCGTGCTTTTCAGGAGCGGGATGAAGATGCTGATATAGACGAATCTGGTGAGCTGGGCTTGGCGTTAAAGTTAGTACATGTTGTTTTAGTGACTGACATTTTAGTGCTTATTGCTAACATTCCTGTGTTTGGTGTTTTTGGAAGAAATTTGTTTTTAAGCCTACTACTTTTTAAAATTTGAAGGAATAATAAGTAAACAAAATTTATTCTAATTGAAGTGGTTTAAATGTGCATTGTATTGCTTCCTGTGTGTCTTTATATTAAAATTTAAAAATGATACCCAGTTCCCCTATGAGAATAAAGTGTATTTATTACAGAACTTCATCACTTACATTGTGCTTTTTAGAGGCAGTTAATGAATCAATTCCTCAGCCTTACTGAGTTGTCTGTGTCCCGAGGAAGGAGATGAGGTGTTGAGTGCTTATTCATCTGTGAGGTTGTAACACTTGCCTCTGGAGGGAGTTGTCCTTGAAGATTCTGGTTGAGGTGTAGCTCAACAGCAGAGCACCTGCCTACTGTGTGGAAGGCTCTGGGTTTAAGTCTCAGCCCTGCAACCCCTCCAGATGTTTTCATACATGAAACTTTTATAATTGGCTATTCTCTCCCTAACCTTGCTTATCAATGGCTGTATTTATCTAGAAAAACGTATTGACATTTTTTTTAAACAAACTGAGAATTTCATTTACCTGTCTGTGGCCCAGTGTACAGGGTACAGATTTTCTTATTTTGAGACATGGTTTTGCCAGGTTCTCAGGCTGGGCTTCAACTTGGCAGTCCTCTTACTCCGTCTCCCCAGTGCTAGGATTTCAAGCATGCATGAGCTTGACTGGCTGCAAACTAGCATGTTTAAGCAGTATCCAATGACACTCTGAGATAGGAAGTCATAAGATACACTTTCATAGCGTAGCCATTCATTATGTACTTGGAAAGTTCAAGAGTTTATCAGAATGTTTTCCTACCCACTTAGAACTCAGAGGTGGAGGAGAATTTAGAATACATAATTCTCAATTCAAGGTGTGTAATGAAAAATGCTGTAGTAGAAGTGCGTATGGATGCTGTTCTTGGATGTAGAGGAGGAAGACAGAAGTTCTGTTTTAGATACCATTCTAGAAAAAAACTACTGAGAGATAATGAAGTAGAAAAATAACAGTTTTCTACCTGCTAAAACAAACTGTAGGGGATTCTGGGTTAGAATGGTGTATTTTACTTACAGCTGCTCCAGTGGGAGCTAAATGTGGAAAGTGAGAACTGCCGTGTCTGGTTTTGGAAGGTGCTTTGTAAGGGGAGTTGCATCCGCTCAGACCTGCTGCTGTGCATCCTGGGTGGGGGGATGGGGGGGACTCTGTCCAAGTGTGAGGGACTCGGTGATGAGCAGAAGGGGAGAAAGTGCACTGGCCTTGCAGAGCTGAAAACATGGAGATGGGAGGCGGAGAAGTGTTGTGGAGAAAAAGAAGGGAAATGTGCCAGAAAGAAAGGGAAGAAGTTGCCATCTTTAAAAGAGTGATTTAGTTTCCCCTAGATTTGAGTGAAAACTCAAAGGAGGTAAAGTCTTACTTGTCACCTTAGGGAAGAATTGATTTCTCATCTCTTGAAAATTAACCCCAGAATCTATGATATAGAGGATGAATCGAGGCTTTTGTGTGTTTGTCTGAATACTTGAGAGAAGAGCCAGGTGTGGTGGTGCACACCTGTCATCCTAGTGGATGGGAGGCTGTGACAGGAGGATTGCTGCAAGTTTGAGGGTAGCCTGAGCTACAAAGTGAGCTCAAGACCAGCCTACACTACCTAGTGAGACCCCACCTCAAAAAACCAAACCCAAACAAAGAAAGCTATGAAGATTGGAGTTAAGGTTTGTATGCTTAGCACCTGTGAGTACTGGGTTTAGTTGCCTTCCTTACCTTACCTTCCCAAAGGAAAAACAGATTGAGTCATTTGGAAGACAGTGTTCTCCATCTCATTTGTGGGTGAGCTCCAGGCTCCCCTGTGGACCTGCCTTCTGCTCAGCACTGTGTGCAGCTTGGGTGTCTTTACTCCTCAGGCGGAGGTGACCGACCACTCACCACGTTTTTGTGTTTCGTAGAGATTTTACAGTAAGCAGTGCACATGTACATAAGGAGGGCTACAGAAAGTAAAGGATTGGAAATGAAGTCGTAGTAGAGTAAACAGGGCTCATTGAGAGAATTTTTATTTCTTTGTGTTTTACATATGTGTCTGGTGAAGGAGAAGTTTAAGATAATAGATACAGATATGAAGCAATTAGTTACAAATCATTTTCTTCATTTATAATCCTTTTGTCCACTGTTTTACTTTATTTTTTTCACTTTTATTTTAAATTAGTCTTCCTTGACTTTAAACTTTTCTGTTTAGAGAGATTCAAGTTAGGCCTTTACATAATAAGGACAATAACAATAGAATCTTGAGAAAATATTTAAAATTATTAGTTCCTTTTTAATGTAGTATCTTTTAAAATATAAAACTGGCATTTTAAAATAAATTTTTTTGTGTGGTGGTGGTTATATTAGTGCAACCTGTTGTAAACATGCAAGTTGAATACATCCCTGTCCTTTTAAAAATTGTTTTACTTTGAGAAAGTGTCAGTGAGAAGGGGGCCAAGCTGGGCTCGGGATTTCAGTTCCTCTGCTCTGTCCTCCCTGGGATTACGGGGGTGGGCCATGCTCATTTTTAACTTCTTAATGATTTTAAGATACCTTCCTTTGCTTGATTCATTATGTTCAGGCTGAGTGTCATTTCATATATGTTCAGATTTGTGTCCTTATTTCAGTAGAATAACTGATTATACATTTAACCATGTGTCTTTTCTTTTGATATATATTCTATTTTCCCTTGAAGAGCATTGCTATCTTTAAGTATTCAGAGTTCTTTTAAAAGTTTACTTTATTGCCTGAAATTGGAGTTGCTTGAGAAGGGAGTTTAGAGACAGCACAAAATATTTCATAGTTAACAGCTGGCTAGTCTTTAAGTACTGTAATTGTAATTAGTGTGTTGAAATCTTAGATTTTTGAATTCATCTTTACAGAAGAGTCTGCAGAGGAGTCGACTGCTATCAGCATTGCACAAATGGAAAAACGCTTACTCCATGGCTTAATTCATAATGTTCTGCCGTATGTCGGTACTTCTGTAAAAACTTTAGTGTTGGCATACAGCTCTGCAGTTTCCAGCAAAATGGTATGTACATGTTAGCAATAGCTTGGGAACTAAGACAAATAGTAGTGATACAGCTTTGGTTTATTATTGAGCTTAATTACGGGAATAATATGGTGAGTGCCTTCTGAATAGATATGTACACTACTGAGTCTCGTATTGTTTTAGTTCTTAGAAAAATCTTTTTTGCGTGAGTATCATTGCTTACATGTTATGGATGAGATAACCAGACTGGGAAAGGTTAAATACTGTACTCAGATGTAGGTAAGATGGTCAAGTGAAATAAAATCACTGTTTTTGGTTTTTGCAGTACTGGTAATTGAACCCAAGCAAGACTTGAGAGCTGCGCTACATCTCCAGCTGTTATAAAAAAAATTTGCCTTCAAATTTTGAGGCAGGGTCTTGCTGAATCATTATATAAGACTGTGCTCAAATTTATGATCTTGTCTCAGCCTCCCAGAGTGCTAGGATTCAGTCCTGAACCACCTTAATGATGTCTGTGAAAGTGCATCTTATGAATTCCTACGTCAGTGTATATTGAAGACTTCTAAAACACATTAGTTTGCAGCCAGTCAAGCTTATGTATGTTTGAAATCCTAGCATTGGGGAGACGGGGGTAAGAGGTTTGCAAGTTCAAGCCCAGCCCGGGCTCAAAATTAGAAAAATTAAAATGGCTCTGGGTTCAGTCCCCAATACTGGGAAAGAAATTCCTAAGTGGTACCTCACAACATTAACATAGGTTCTCAGGGATTTGAGCCTAGAATATGTATTTGCAATGTGCTATTCAGGTGACTTTTTTTTTTTTTTTTTTAAACATGCACTTGAGTTTGAGGACCGCTGGATTATACTTACTAGTGAGTGCCTATTGCTTCTCTGACTAAAGATGTGCTGATCTTTATGGCAGCTCTTTCTCCCTTAGGTTAGGCAGATTTTAGAGCTTTGCCCTAACTTGGAGCATCTGGATCTTACTCAGACTGACATTTCCGATTCTGCATTTGACAGGTTAGTTATTTTAAAATATTTAAACTATAATGGATTATTAGTGGAATTATTTTCTCGTTCATTTACATCATGACAGTTTAATCATGCTGTTATTTTTTACTGCTCATCTTGTTTGGCTATAACTTGATAGCAACGTCCATTTCTTTTTCTGCTATCCACTACTCCCAGCTGATCCAAAATTTCTATCATTTTGCCATATCTGTAACCAGGTACTGACTGTATTAGGCCTTTGAGCTTTGCTTTACAACCGTGGATTTGTGCTGCATGTGTGTAAGGTTTCATTTGGCCTTACGCCCTTTGGCACAGCTTCCTTTGTATTTTTAGAGTACCACTCATTCCAGCTGTACTTTCTGTACACATCTACTTTCTGTAGATTACGTTTTGTTGTATACTACCAATTTCCCCTTTATTCCGGTGTGCCCCCTCCCATGCTAGTATATTATTTCAGAGAGAAAGATCTTTCTCCTGTCTAAGGCCAGTTACCTAATTTCTGGATAGTGTTTCTTAGGTACTTTCCTCCATTAAGCCTTAGATATTGTCCTTCTCTTATACGTGTATAATATTTTTGCCCTGCCAATTACGTTCAGGATAATAAACAAGTTTTATACTTACCCTTCTGCCATCCTATCTGTTATGTTAGCAGTACTGTTAATTTCTAATGAATGTCACTTTGTTTTTATATGCTTAACACCAAAAGTATTACCTTGTAACGGTAAATATTTAGCAGATACTTGTGTGATAATATTAGATGTAAAATCTGTTTTTCTAACATCCAACTATACAAATGTAGTCAGATAATTTGAAGAATTTAACAACATATACTAGTAGTCTTGTTACCTCTTAATTGTAGTTGGTCTTGGCTTGGTTGCTGCCAAAGTCTTCGGCATCTGGATCTGTCGGGATGTGAGAAGATCACAGATGTGGCTCTAGAGAAGATTTCTAGAGCTCTTGGGATTCTAGCATCTCATCAGAATGATTTCCTGAAAACTACTCCAAGCAGAATTACTGCAGCTAAATGGAAAGACAAAGACATTACTATGCAGTCTACCAGGCAGTATTCCTGTTTGCGCGATTTAACTCAAAAAGGCATTGCAGAAGAAATAGACAGTGAGCACACCTGGACTAAGCCTGTTTCTTCTGAAGGTTTTACTTCTCCGTATGTGTGGATGTTAGATGCTGAAGATTTGGCTGATATTGAAGATGCAGTGGAATGGAGACACAGAAACGTTGAAAGTCTCTGTGTAATGGAAACAGCATCCAACTTCAGTTGTTCCTCGTCTGGTTGTTACAGTAAGGATATTGTTGGACTAAGGACTAGTGTCTGCTGGCAGCCACATTGCGCTTCTCCGGCCTTTGCTTATTGTGGCCATTCATTCTGTTGCACAGGAACAGCTCTAAGAACTATGTCAGCACTCCCAGAGTCTTCTGCAATGTGTAGGAAAGCGTTAAGGACTACATTGCCTAGGAGGAAAGACTTACTTGAGTTTGGGAGTGAAAAATCTGATCAAGAGACTGGACGTGTACTTTTGTTTCTCAGTCTGTCTGGCTGTTACCAGATTACAGACCACGGTCTCAGGTGAGTAACCAAAGGAGTAGGAAATGGTCACACTTTCATTTTCATGTCAAATAGGAAAGCTTGATGTAAATTATCCCTTGCAGTGTATTTATTTAAACAAGAAAGTTGACAAAAGGGGTTCTATTTCAGAGTGTTGGAATAATATAACTTACATAGTTTAAATCTGTTGCAATATGTAGAGCAATGTAAATTTTTTTCTTCCTATAAAGAATGTCTGCAACTTTGATAAACATAGATCTGTAAGTTGTATTGGCATTTGTCAGGCTATAGTCTATAAACATGGAAGTCTTTTGCATTTATTTGGATTGTTTTTAATTTTAGCAGTGGTTTATACTTTGTAGCATACAACTCGTTCATCTTGGTTGATTCCTATGTGTTTAATTCTCATCGATGCTGTTGTAAGTGAAATCATTTTGTTTTGTAGATTGTATATAGAAACACAGCTGAGGGGCGTGTGTCGATTCTGTGCTTTTCATTAAATTATTCTAACAGATTTTTGGTTGAATTGGAATTTTCTGTGCATACAGTAATATCGTCTCTAAAGACATAATTTTACTTTACAGTTTGTACACATTTTGCTTCTTTTTCTTATTTAATTTCTCTGGCCAGAACTTCCAGACCTGTGTTAAGTAGATGTGGGGTGAGCACTTTGTCTTGCTCTTATGGGGAAGGAGTTTCAGTCCTATGCCCACGAACGTGATGTTAGCTCTGGGTTTTTCATAGGTGAAAAACTTGCCTTTTATTTCTGTTCACTAGACTTTTGTTTTTCTTACGAAAGTGTATTAGATTTTGTTAGTGCTTTTTCTGAATCAGTTGAGGTGATCTTGTGGGTTTTTTTGTGGTGACATAGTGAATTATGTTGACTTTCACATGCTGAAAGTTGATGAAACACACATGGTCATGGTATACCATTGTTTTAGTGTCCTGATCAATTCAGTTCCTGGTTGTGTGTCTTCATGTTCACTAATTTTTTCTGCAGTGGCAATTACTGTTCACTGCTAACTTCGTCCAGTGCATATTTTGTTTCATATATTGTATTTTTCATCTCATTTGGCAATCTGTCTCTTTCCACATACACAGGTATATACATTGACAGTGTAAATGTACTATAATATATAAACAAAGTCCTATACAAAATTAAATATATAAATCATATAAACATACATTTTATTTAATTGCATTCATAGTTTAATTGTCAATCTTATTTAAAATATTTTTAAAACATTTTTTGTATACACATATTTAAGATATACAACATGATGTTATAGGGTACATACATAGTTATTGTAGTGAAAGAAATTAACATTCCATCTTACACAGTTACCTCTTTTTCTGTCTCATGGCATAGCCATGAGGTACACGTTTGCTTAGCAAAATTCTTGACTGCAGTACACTATAATTAACTATAGTATTCATTTTGAGCTTTAGCTCTTATGATTTGTTCCCATTGTATATGTCTTACTTTATATCATTTAATCCACATCTGTTTCTTCCTCACTAGTAACCACTGTTTTATTCTTTACCTCTACATATTGGTTTATTTTTAAAGATTGTACATATCAACCTGGCTTATTTCATTTAGCATTGATTCTGACATTAGTCAAAGGAATACCATAAATGTACTTTACTGTACCAAGAAACTTGCCTTCTGTATTTGTCTTTTTTTTTTTTTTTTGGTACTGGGGATCAAACTCATCACCTCACACTTGCCAGGGAGGCACTTATACCACTGAGCTAAATCCCTGGCCCTACTTTCTGTATCTAGACTGTTACAGTTCTTACCAAGAAAGGATACTAAACTTTGTTGAGTATTTTCTCTGCACCTGTTGATATGATCCTGTGCTTTTTTTTTTTTTTTCGTATTAATACATTGATTGATTTACTTGGGTTCAGCTACCTTTGCAGGCCAAAGATAAATTCTATTTACTTATGATATTTTGTTTTGATGTGTTGTTTCATTTGATTTCTGAATATTTTACCTAGGAGTTTTGCATCACTGTTCATCACAGATGTTTGGCCTATACTTTTTGTGGTATCTTTGAGGAATCAGAGTGAAGATGGACTTGCAAAATGTGTTAGGAAATACATGCCCTAGCCTTAATTTTTGGGAGAGTGTGACAAGTATTGTATTCTTTGAAGGATTTGTAGTAATCAACTGAAAGCCATCTCCTATATTCTTGGGCTTTTCCTTAGTGGGCTTTTGAAAATTACTCCTTTTGTATTAATATTTACTATTGATTGGCTCAGATTGTCTATTTCTTCCTGATTCAACCTTGGTGGGTTGTATTTTCTTAGAACTTTATCACTTTCCATTAGGTTTTCAAGTTTGTTACCACATAATTATTGATATGGTCTCTTGTGATCCTTTTTTCCTTCTAATCAGATATTTCTACATTTTAGATACACATAATGATCATATTTATTATGGAAATTTGTGCCTATACATGATATAACTTATTTTTCCTCTATTTACAAAATCCTTATTTCCATTTTTTTCTTCCATTCTTTTATTTCCTTCCTTTCCCCTCTGCCTCTTCCTTTGTTCTCCCCCTTGAACATTTTCTTTGTATTTCACAATATTTGTTACACATTTTGGTTCTTATTTACATTTTCAGTTTCTCACATCAGAGAAACAGTGTGGTATTTACACATGTGTGTCCCAATTTATTTTGTAATCCTTTTTGTTTCCAAGATGCCTGCTGTGGTGGTGTCTATTTTCTCATTTTATATATTTGAATCTTATTTTTAATATAACTGAAGATTTGCTGATTTTTCTGTTCTCTGTTTCTGGTCTCATTTTTTCATGTCCTTCCTTCTGCTAGCATAATATTGTTTTATTTCCCGAAGGTGCTAATTTTCTTTTTTTTATTCATTTATTTATTTTTTGAGCTCTTTAACTCTGTGGCAGTGACAGATCAGGTTTTATTCCTTGGTGATGATATGTGAGAAAAGGTGTGTGTGTGACTTTTGAATTGTTAATATGATACTTATTGCTAGAAGCTTTCTCTTAGAACTACTCTTGCTGCGGTTTTAGTATAGTAGAAGTTTTGCTATATTTTTGCCTGAAAACATTTCAAATTTCTTTTTTGATTTTTACTTTGATCCATTGGTTTTAGGGGGGGGCATGTTTAATTTACATGTATATGTGAATTTTCCAAAATTGTTCCTATTGTTAATTTCTAGTTTCACACTTTTTTTTTCTGTTGTATGGATTTTTGAGACAGGGTCCTACCACGCAGGTCAGGCTGTGCTTAAACTCATCATGTAGTTCAAGCTGGCCCTAAAGCTCATAGAGACCCTCTTGCCTCAGCCTTGTAAGTGCTGGGATTATGGGCTTGGAGCACCACATCAGGCTCTAGTTTTATACTCCTGTTGGAAGCAATATTGACATGATTATCAGTTTGGTGGCAGTATTTCCTTATTGATTATTTTCTCTGGTTTACCTGTTCATTGTTGAGAGTAGAATATTGAAGTTCCTTATTACTGTTGAATCGCTCATTTTCTCCAACTTTATGTCCAACAATACTTGTTTTATTGAATTGAGTACTCAATTGTTGGGTGCATTTTTTTTTAGTTTTAAATGATGATTTTCTGTGTCTTTTTCACTTGAAGCCTATTTTAGCTGATGGAAGTACAGCCATTCCTGATCTCTGTGGTTTCCATTTGTGTGGCTATCTTCTCCTATCTGTTTAGCTTCAATCTATGTTTCACCTAAAGCCAGTGTGAATTTCTTAGTAGATAGCATGTAACACAGTTGGGTCTTCTTTTCAGCCCATTCCTCAGACATTCTGTCTTTTTTGGAGGTGGGGGAGGATTGGGGATTGAACTCACGACCTGGCGTTAGCCAGGCAGGCGCTTATACCACTGAGCTAAACCCCCGGCCCCTGTTCTGTCTTTTGATTAGAGACTTTAATCTATTTGCATTCAGTGTAATTATGAGTGGGTAAGAATTTACATATTAGTCAGTTTCCCCATTGCTGGTACAAAATAACCTTTGAATTTAAAAGAGTAGTGGTTTAGTTTAGTTGTTTTAAAGGGTGCCCTTCACAATGGGGCGATTCTAAGATAGAACATTGTAATAGAACACGGCGTGCTGGAAAAAACTCCTCACTTCATGGAGCTGGATGCAGAGCACAGGGAGGAGCACTGGCCCCCCAGCGGCCCAGCTGCAAAGACTGTCAGAGGGTTAATCTGAGGGAGGTGTGATCCGGCCACTTCTCAGGGCCTCTTAATCCAGTCAGGTTGATTGTTAAGTATAGTTTACACAGTTCAGCTGTTTGGTTAATTGTTTTGTAGATCTTTTGTTCTTTCCTTCCTTGAATATTGTTTGTTACTAGATCATTTTCTATAAAGTCTTTTGATTCTTTTTATTATCTACGTATTTGCTGTAGTTATCCACTTTATGGTTAGCACGAAGCTCCTGTAAAACATCTGAAAGTTAGAGTAGACTGCTTCATACTGATAACTTCAGTTGCCTACACAACCTCTGGACTTGTATCCTGCATCTAACACGTTGTATTTGTGATGTAAAATACATTTTTTTTCTTTTTCTTTTCTTTTTTTTTTTTCCTCCTTCCCAAATCTCCTTTTAGATGTTTCAAGTTTTCCTGTGGTTTAGGATTTCTCTTGTTATAGTTCATCATAAACCTAACTTTGTTGAATGTATTTGTTTAAACAAAAAAACCCAATGTTACAAAATTTCAATACAATAGACTAACAATTGTTAATATATTACACATTGATGTCTTCAAAGTAGTTGCTCAGATTATAAGACATAGGCATGGAGAATGATCAGTGAAAGCACAAACTGTCTTTTTGATGAACAGAGATTAGTAGTATAGTTATCTGTCTTGTGTGTGTGTATGTGTGTGTGCGCGTGCATGTGTGCGTATGTATGTATATGATCTTTTCCCTTTCTTTCTCTTTTCCCCCAAACACAGATGTTCTTTCCTTTTGAGCAGTTTATTTCCTTTTCAAAATATCTATTGTACATTTTGGAACTTACTCTTTTCAGTTTTTTGTACTAGGGAAACAAGACAATGTTTACACACTTGAGTCTGATTTATTTCACTTACAAATATGATCTTTCGTTGCATCCATTCACCTATAAAAGCCGTGACTTTGTCCTTCTTTATAGCTGAACGTCTTTTTTATTTAAAGAGAAAGAAAAAAAACCAGAAAAACAGGGTAGAAACAATTCAGAATTTCAGAAAAATAAAGAGTAAGAAATCACCAGTTGATAAGTTACACACCATCATCTTAGAAATAGTTGCCCGAGTTACAAAATTGTGATACTCAAATAATGACACTGTTTTTTTTTTTTTTTTTTTTTTTTTTTTTTTTTTGTCTTTTTCGTTTTTATCGGTACCAGGGATCGAACTCACGACTGCCTGCTTGGAAGGCAGGTGCTTATGCTGCTGAGCTAAATCCCCAGCCCCAAATAATGACACTGTTAACAGTTCTGCTCAACCCCATCCAACAAGAACTTAGTAATATGGTTATCAGTCCTACACACTTGTTTTTTATCTTAAAGAGGGTAATACTAAACACAGCAAAACAGAACAAAACAGTTTATAAGGGAACAATTTAAAGAAATAAAGATTTCAAAGCAAGTCCACTGGAGATCTTCACTATCTATCTTACTTTCTCTAGTTTTCTTCCAAATAGTTGTCCCCATCTTCACACACATTGAATATATATTGAACATTATAGAACTAACCAAATCATTACAGGATGATGAAGGCTTTTTAGGTCTTTAAGACCTGATTTTGGGAAAGTCATTAATGACTACCATGTTTCTCAGCCTCTTCGTAGTAGTTGTTTTTGTCTTTATGTATGCTGAAATTGAACATAAGAGACTAGACTAATATCACTCTGAACAGTAAATGATAGTATTGCTAGATTTTATATCATAATGCTACAGAATTAGCATTGGGTTTCTTAGTGTCTCTTCTTCAGAGTATCTGTTCATTACGTCGTGTATTATATAACCCGTTCCCATAAATAGTTTAGAAACTCTCCCCATGTGTGAATCTCTACATGCACATCTATCCTTTCTGTGTTATAGGGAAAATAAGACAATAAAATAAATTCCTAGAAAAATACGAAATGAAAAAGACATATAGGACCACACTATTAGGTGATCTACAGTAGTTGCTATGCTTTCTCTTGTTGTTTTCAATAGAATTGTCCACATCGTCAGGCATATCATTGAACATAACATTACATAGCTATTTTAATAAAAACACAACTTTGAAAACATCATAGGACTTGAAAGCAGTTAATAATCAAAAACAGAATGAGTATCTTTTACATCTTGCTATCATCAGAGTAGTTGCCTCTACTCTTAGACTTGATACTATCAAGCATACCAAGTTTGAATAAAATCAGTCGAGGCTAAACATCTGTCTTACAAACCAGCTTCAAATAAGATCAGTCATAGTAAGACAATGTAAGTAATGCAGGGTTTCAGTGTAAGTTAATAGGAAATTAAGGATAGTTACCGTGGTATAACCTGCTATTTTTGGATTAGCTGTCTGTGCCCTCAAATCTAATATGAGTAGACAGACCAGAACAAAATATAATCAAACTGAACAGAGTGATAAGACTACCGTAACTTTTAAAACCTGATATACTATTAACAATGTCCTCTGCCTTCCTTTCTTAGACAGTTCCTCCCCTTTCCCTTTTTCAGGATGCTTTGTATATTTTGGGTCCCACTAGCTCTTTTAGTTTTTAGATTAGGGTGCCAACCTGTTGTCTATCTTGAGTGTTGCTAAACCTTTTTACCTCTGAGCTTGATCTTGAGCTGTACTCCTTTACTTACTAAAGTCACAAGGTTGTCCTTCCTTCCAGCTGTGTAGTTCTACACTGCCCAAAAGTGTCATAGCTTTCCAGTCTATCGGCGGCTGCTGGACGAGTTGCCCCTATTTCTCTCTGGTTTCCTGTCACATACAGCATTGTTTTCTTTGACTCTCAGTTTATTAACACTCTTTCAGGTTGAGTGTATCTCCTATTCAGAGCATCTCGATGGATCCTGTCTCCTAATCTACTCTGCCTGTGTTTCTTTTTTGTTAGTGTATCAGGGCTATCTGTATTAAAGATTATAGCTTACTGTCTCTGCCTCATCTCTGCTATTCTATTCTTCGGCTATTGTTTGTCCACTTTACTCCTTCATTCCATTGACTGCCCGATTCATTGAGGCCTCTCTGTCACTCTTGCTGGAATCCTGGTATTTTTTCCTCTCTCTCTCTGGAATGTCCTTCAGTATTTTTTGTAGGGTTGAGTTAGTGGCCATGAACACCCACAGTTCCTCCTTGTCTTGAAAATATCTTGTTTCTCCATTAATTTTGAGAGAGTTTTTCAGGGTACATCAGTCTTGGTTGGAGGTTATTTTCTTTCAGAGATTGGACTATTTCCCCCAGGCTCTTCTCGATTTGAGAGTTTATGTTGAAAAGTCTGTTGTTATTTTGATAATTTTTCCGTTGGAAGTAATCTGCTTCTTTTCTCTGGCTGCTTTTAATATTCTGTTCTTGTGGTGGATTTCTGGAATCTTGATTATTATATGTCTGGGTGTAGATCTGTTTTGGTTGTAGGTGGCTGGAGTTCTGTATTCCTCATTTATCTGGATATCATTTCTTTTTCCTATGCTTGGGAAGTTTTCCTTAATTATATCTGTGAATAGTCTTTGTAGTTCATTTGTAGTTACTCCTGCTTCTTCGCTCACATTTTTTATTCTTAAGTTATAAATCTTCTTGTCTTCTAGCCTTTGAATTGTTTCTTCCTGGTTCCTTATTATTTTAAAGAGATCTTTTCTTTCATAATCACACACCATAAATCTCTTTTCAAGTTTCAAAAGGCTAACCTTAGTTTCTGTCAAGGCATTTTGCCAGCTTTCAATGGAGTTTTTAGTTTTCTGGTAATCTCTTTGGATCTGTTTCATGTATTCTAGATTTTGTTTGTATTTTTCATGAAAGGTTTCTCTTCCTTTTCTGAGTTCCTCCGTTCTTCCACCTGTGTTCTCTTGGGAGGGGCTTATCATTTCTTTAATTAATATTTTTGTATCTTGCCACACTTGGATCAGAAGTACAGTTTTAAATTCGTTTATGAGGTCATGAAGGTATTTCTTTATGTCCACTGATGCTGTGTCTAATATTGCATGATTACTGCACTGGTTCTTCTGTATTTACCTCTTCTGGGCTTATTTTTCCAGGGTCAGTGGCTGGATGTTTTTTTTATTTCTGTCTTTTGTCATGTTTCTGGTTTCTTTCAGACAAGTGTGTGTGTGGGGGGGGGGAGTCTCTGGCCCTCTCCCTATTGTTTAGGGTCTTTCTGAGGAGTGCTTGACTGGGGTTTTGCTGCCCTCCCCAACTTGCTGTTATCTGAGGTATCTAAACTGCCTCCCAAGGGCTTGGGATGTTGCGGGGACACTCACCCCAGGCTGTCCTGTCTAGAGTTCAGGGCGCAGGCAGGCAGGCTCAATTCCCCGAAGCTGGTTGAGCACGGCAGGAAACCAGAAAGTTCTGGCTCTGTATTTTTGATTATTGTCTGAAGAGGTGTTTTCAGAGGCCGATTCGGCGGCTCCATGGGGCTCCGGCTGCATGGACCTGGTGGCCGTGAAGACACACCCACCTGGGGACCTCGGGGGTGCTCTGATGGTGGGGGCCTGCTCAGCTGCAGGCTGGGGTCTTCACGTGAGCAGCCAAGGTTAAGGTGGTGATGCGTTCCAGCAGGTCCGGTTCGTACCCATGATGCTGCAGTGCACCCTTTGGGAAGTCCCCTGAATCGGGGGAGGTGGTGGAGGCGGCAGCAGCCATGGCGATGGCAGGGGTGGGGGCAGCTGGTGGACAACGAGTCGCTCTGCTCCCCCAGCCTCCATTGGGCCCGCAGCGACAGAGTTGGAGTCAGTGGCTGGAGCGTGGTGGCATGGGGATGGCCTGTCTTGGTGCGCCAAGGAGGCGCTCAGGGCTGTATGGACTGTATGTTTGATTGATTCTTCTCACCTTAGTTTCTTTTTGGGATGAAACAATTCCTTGCCCTCTGTTTGGGGCTCTCCACACTGTATTATGTTGAATACTAAGTTGACCATCTCAGGGAACCTCTGTAGCCGGCCGTTACCTATCCGGCATTTTTGCCTTTTTTATCCATTCCTGTGACTGTAGAATATTTGCATGTCTTAGCAGTCATTGCTATTACCTAATTCAGAAGTATTTTCCTTCTTCGCAGAAGGAATCACACACCTATTAATAGTCACTCCCCTTCTCCCTCACATCCCTTCTGTTGCTCTGGGTTTACCTGTTGTCAGATAGTAGTAGTAATAGTGGAATCAGACACTGCCACATAGCCTTTGCATCTGCCTGTTTGCACTTAGTATGTCTTCAAGGTTCATGCAGGCTATGGCATCCGTTAGTACTTTGAAGGTGCATGGTGCTTAATTGTGTGGATGTAGCACCATTATTTAATGGTATTTGGGTTGCTTGTGTTTTGACTGTTAGGAATAATACTGCTGTGAGCAATCATGTACAAGTTTTTGTGTTCACAGTTGTTTTTAAACTTTCAGATGCAAAGGGTAATTGCTAAGTCATACACTGTTTTTGAAAAACTACAATACAATATAGGGTTAAAACTGTAGTAATTGTCTTAATAATTTTCACTTGGAGAATTTGGTAGGGAAACTTAAGTTTGGGGTTCAGTACTTCCTGTCAGTATTGAATTACTATAATGTCCTCATAAAAGAGATTTTTATAGACTTCCTTATTGACTGTTTTTAGGAAAAATTTAGATAATTTTCTGAGTTAAATGTGTTTCTGTGGCAGGGTAAGTCAGTTATCAGTATTTTAGAGAACTTTTAAAACCTTTTTGTTAGGTAAAATTGCAGCCCAGTGGGCCATAGGAGTGTCACGTTTCTCATAGGTAATACGTTCTAAGGCCGCCTTGTTTCTCTTACAGGGTTCTGACTCTGGGAGGAGGGCTGCCTTACTTGGAGCACCTTAATCTCTCTGGTTGTCTTACTGTAACTGGTGCAGGCCTGCAGGATTTGGTTTCAGCTTGTCCTTCTCTAAATGACGAATACTTCTACTACTGTGACAACATTAACGGTAATGCCTTTTAACGATGAGATGATTTTGAAAGAATTACTTTGGAGTATGTTGGCAGTTCTAATAATTTTTGTGGTTTCTGGATTCCTGATACTCAAAAATTGTTTTACTTTCAGTTTTAGTCCTTTAAATTTGATATTTTTAAAATCACATATTTAGTCTCAAAAATTAATTTTTCTGTGGGTTATATTTTAGCCCATAGAAAAGAGCTGTTTAAACATGACTTGTACAATTTATTCTCAGTTGGCTTTCAACATTTAACTAACATTTAACTGTAGCCTTGCCCCACCCATGCCCTGCCCCTTGGGTTCCCACCCACCCACTCCACTGGAGGACACAGCATGGTGTCACTGACCCGATGACTCTGTCCCAGGTTCTGGCTTTTTTGTTTTGTTTTGTTTTTTTAATCTATTAGAGATGTATTTAAAATCTGGAATCAATATTCATATGTTGCATGTCTTGGTTATTTTTCTCTTGTTGCTGGGACAAAATACCCAACTCTCAAAATTAAGGCAGGAAAGGTTTATTTAGCTCACAGTTTGTGGAGGTTTCACTGTAATCAGACTGGCTCTAAAGCAGAGAGGCACCTGGCAGAGGGCAACAGCTCATGGCGGCAGGAAGCAGCACAAGCAACAAGAGCCAAAGGAGAGGAGCATGGAGAGAAGACTCTTTCTGTCCCTTATGTTGTACGTAGCCCACATCCACTTGGGTGTGGCACTCACACCCATAACCCCAGCATTGGCCCATGAGTCAGTCACAGAAGCCCCCATGTCGGCATGAGGCCAAACACAAACCATAACTCTCCATATATAGGTCCCGGCTTCACACACAATAACTGAACGTAGCATACAAGTGATGTCTGTATATTTCAGAAGCAGAGATATGTGCAGCAGAAATTTGGGTTTGTCACACTTAAATTCTTTTTAAACATTTTAAATGATCTTTTATCATGTCTTAGGTGAATTATGCATGATATGACTTAAACATATAAAAGTAATTAAGAAGACCTAATGGAAGAAGATTAATGCCTATGCCCCACTCCAGCCAATTATACTTTGGTTATATCTTTGCAATTCATAACTTCCCTAGTTAGAAATGAAAAAAGAACAAAGAAAAGAACTATTTAAACTTAACCTTTCACTGCTTATTCTTAGTTGGCTTACTACATTTAACTGGAAAATCATACAGTGAAAATTAATAAAAATAACTCAAGCTGTTTTCTTGGTTTTGAGAGCTATACTATCATTTTTGTGAAGAAACAGCTATAGTTTCAGAATAACTTTTTATTACTGAATACTAGAATAATTTTTTAAGTTTGAGTGAATTTTATTTAAGTTGAAAGAAGACTATACAGCACAGATGTGGTACTTTCTAGGAGATAGAAATGTGCCTTAAATTTCAAATCAGTAAAAAAAAAAAAAAAAAACATTAAGTGGCAGGAAGTCTCACCAAGTCAGGCACATAAGCAAGTCTTTACTGTTTTGGGACCAGGCCTCTGCTGACAAAGAGTGCTCATTAACTGAGGCAGAACATTAGTATGCTCACCGCACTTGAAATGTGACCCTCTCCTGAAGCAAAACTATTAATATAACGGAAGAAATACTATAAGAGGATCAGACTCTTAATATAATAACGGTGACAGTTACTGGGCACATGGAGCTGTTTAAATAGTTCACACACATTAATTCATTTAATGATCACAGTAATTCTGAGGTAAAATATATTAGTATCTATGTTCGTGCTAAGAGCATCATGGGTAAGAGGAACTAAATACACTAGGGTTATACAGCTGGTACACTGAAGAGGCAGAAATACTCATTCTTTCAGACTTTTGAGGCATATAATAGATTAATCACTTAAAATGGCAAGTTGTTATAGTAAAATTCTTCAAAAATTTTTGGAAATTCCTCTAGTTTTGCAACATTAAAGCACTCATTAACAATGTAAATGTGTTGATATTCTAGATACAATGATTCCTTGGAATGATAGGTGTATTTTTCTAGTAGAACAGCTTTATCAAATGCAGTTGATAAGTAGTAATATGAAATCCTCAGGAATTCTGGGTCTGGTTCCAGATACCTCACTGAAGACTGCTGAGGGATAATGCTGCAAGGTATTAAGAAAAGGCTAAAATGCTTTAGACATGTCTAAAATTCCCAAATACTATTTTGGAAATTGATTCTCGAACCTGTTACTAAAATTCATCAGATAGGGCTGCGAATGTAGCTCAGGTAGAGCATTTGTCTAGCGTGTGTGAGGCCTGGGGTTGAATGCCCAGCACCGCAAAGAGAAAAGAAAGCTCACCAGGTAAGTATTTCTTGATTTGTTTGTTGAGGCTCACCTGCTCTGTCGCAAGCCTGTTGAATGTACTTTTTCATAGTACATGGAGGGGCATTTGATAGTCATTGGTAGAAACTAAATTTCCCCGGGTAAAAAGCTGCTTCTCAATTAATAGTCAACAAATCAACCTTTTGTGTTTGTAACTGGAAAGAATTTACACAGCTGAGATTTTGCTGTGTGCCTGTATTTTTACACCACATACTGTGTCTTTGAGAGGGACTGGTTCATTTTAATATGAGGGAGGATCCGCTGAGTTTTTCTCAGGCAAAACAGCTGAGCAGGAAACACCACCAGAGAGAGTAATGACACACTAGCAGGGAGAAAAGTTAGCAAACCTGCTGTTCCAGGAACGTGGGTTTTCTTCCAGGGTGAGGCAAGAACCCTCTTACTTCTGTAATCACATTGTTTGTAGATGGCTGCCCACGTCCTGATGTGCAGCACTAAATTGCATCATATCTTTGCTCTCTTTGGCCTTCAGTGTGTAATTAATAGTGGTGAAAATGAGCATTATTTTGTTTACAGCCAGTTTAGCCTCTAAAAACAAAGAATGCTGATGAGTGAAGTTTTTTTCTGCAGAGGGCTTTAGAAGGGAGTTTTGTGTTTTATGTTTAAACATGAAGTTTTAGCATTGTGGATTTCATTGTACTTCCTCAGACTTCTAGAACGTATCAAAAATAATAACCAATTATTTTTTTGAGAAAAACATTTGTATATTACACTTGAATGTAATTTCAGTGTAGGATGCATTTGGCAATAAATATCAGTTTGTTGTTTTTGTTTTTTCACATAGATATTTTACATGTTGTGAAATATTAGGTTTTAGTCCATTTTTGTGAACAATCTCTTGTATTTATGTGTTAAACTTCTTGAAATAACTTTGATGATAGGATAAGTTAAATTTTAAAATCTTGTGTACTTTGTTGGTGCTTTTCATCTTAATCTGCTTTGAAAGCATAAACATTAAAGTGTTCCCAAGGAGCCATTATATTCCTTTTGTTGAATATAGAAACTTTTTTGAATACGTGCTTGGTAATTTTTAGGAAATGAACTCTGTGTTTTTGAAATAGGGTCTCCTTATGCAGTTCAGGCTGGCCTTGAACTCATTATGTAGCCCAGGCTGGCTTTGACCTCACAGTGATCCTCCTGCCTCAGCCTCCTGAGTACTGGGATTACAAGTATGCACCACCACCCAGGCTGCCTACATGGGTGTTAACTAAGAGAACTGAATTTGAAAGATTTGAAAGGAAATTGTAATGCTTGGATAATATAGTATTAAATCTCCCGTTGTAACTCATCAAGGCCCGATTTGGCAGAAGTGAAATACTGCAGCAGAGTGGTTTGTCACAGAGCTCCCATTGCAGCTAGTTGGGTAAAGCAGTGTAGTAATACGGTCTCTTCCTGAAAGATATTTGGGACCACCTGGAAACTGTTAGACTTATATCCAGATGGCAAGGTGACACTTGAGCCAATGTCTTTCAAAATAGTTCACTTGTACAGTAAATGTTTAGTGAATGCTTATGGACCCCCTTCTGTTTTTATTATTTCTGAAACTAATATGTTTTAATATAGGGTCTTAGAGTAATGAGGAGGCTTATTTAGGTGGTAGATGATACTTTCCATATTTGAAAGTAATGACTTAAAATTGGTTTGCTAAAAGATAACCTACATAATTATCACGGTATTAGCTTTAAAAAAGTAAATATGGTTAACATGAGTCATTAACAGAATAGTAAATGATAAAGCAAAATTTTTCCTAAACACTGGCAGAGATTTTGGAGGAGATAATGATGATCATCCCATATTCAAACAGTGACTACCTAGAGAAAGACACTATGCTAAGTGTTGATATAAAGGGCAAATTTTGATTCCTATAAGTGATTTATCGTGACTTTTAAGTTTGTATTTCATTTGAGTATGAGAAGACCTCTTACCTATGACATTTACCATTAAATTCTTTACCATTAAAAAGTATTAATTGGAATGGCAATTTAGAGCTCTGAAGAACATTTGAACAATGACAGCACATAAATAGTTCGTGCCTATTTGCATTTCAATGTATATATAATTTATGAATTAAGATAGATTAGCTCCTAGTTCTGGAGTGGCACAGTCTCAGATGATTTGCTGTCTTGTGTTTCTAATTTAAGTAAAAGAGGAATTACAGGTAAGTTGAGGTAAGTGCAGAACTGCTGCATGAGTAATGCACAGACTCCTGGCCTGGAAGACAGCTGTTGTATGATGTCAGTTGGGGAAAATAAAGGCTTTATAGTTCTTTTCATCTAATATTTAAAATTATTTCTTATAAGATTTAGTCTTCACCATACATTTAAAGATTCTACTTCGGGGCTGGGGATTTAACTCAGCGCCATAAGCACCTGCCTTGCAAGCCTGTGGTCTTGAGTTCGATCCCTAGTACCGGTAAAAATACAAAAAAAAAAAAAAAAAAAAAAAAGATTCTACTTCACAATTATGCCACTTTATTTTCTTAATTCTTAGTAGGTTCTTGGTCCTCCATTGAGATGAAAATTTTCTGGTTGTAATTCAAATATTTAAAAGGAACTACTGCATATTTTGAATTATTATTGTCTCTTGAAATACAACTGTTGACTGGATGTATGTGACAGCCTAACATCTGTTTCCTCCTTATTCTGTTCTGTTGTTCATTTATTTTTTCTGAGCACTTCCTTTGAGGTAATTAAGGATCTTACTGTTAATGTTGCTTATAATTCCCATGCTCTGGAAATTGTTACGCACCTGTTTTCTACAATATGAAATTAAGTTTAAAACAGTGATTGTCTACTTGTACTTTTCTCTAGGCCTTCAGGAGAATAAAATCGTTTGCTGGAATCTGTTGCTTTCATGGATTACTGTCGTAGGGTCAGATAACCAGCCACTACACTCATTGACCTTATGATAATACTGTAGTTTTCAAGCTGTTAATATTATGGTCATTAGGTATATACTTGTAGGCTTCTCTGGATAGAGCCTACTTTTACGTTTAAAAACACCACTGTATTCTCTCGATCTATTTAGGATCCCACGGGAACTCATACTGAAGGAAGTGGCACATTTGTGTCAGTATCAGTAAATTTTGTAATGAGGAAAGAAATGCTGACAGCAGAATTCTCTTAGCTTTCTGTTTAATCCGGGGTACATGTTGCCATGTCTACAGTTTTCATCTCTCATTTCCCACCATGCCTGTACTCTGAGAACAGTGTGACACAGGTAGCCAGAGTGGACCCTGAGTACGTGGGGTCCCTGTGTCTTTTAGGTAGTGGGATGATGAAAAGCAGAGTGGCCTTTGGATAGGCAGGATCAGCTGCCTGATCTGATTTCCTTTGAGAGATTCTTTTTTACTTTTCCTTCGAAACCAACTGTGTACATCATTTCTATTTTTCCAGCCATCCCTTACAGTACAGTTCACTATAACATTCTTTACCTTTCTGTCAGATAAAACAAAATAGGACATGGCTCGGTGGGGTGACGCATACCAAAAGTCCCAGTACTTAGGAGGCGAGGCAGAGGATTACTTGAGTCCAGGAGTTTGGGACCAACCTGGGCAACATAGTGAGAGCCCATCTCTTTTTGGTATCAGGGATTGAACTCACAGTCTCATCTCACCAGGCAGGCAGGCGCTTACGCCTCTGAGCTAAATCACCAGCCCACGTCCATCTCTTCAAAAACAAAAAGTAGACATTGTGAAGTATTTTGTGGTGTTTTAGTTTGAAAAATTGAGTCTTCATATGTCTTTACTCTTATTTTTCCCTTAAAAAAAATTGAGACTAGATTACATGGTGATAAAATGCTGTTTGGGTACATTTTGGCAAAAACTAGCAGTTTGGACATTTCCTCACAGACTCTGCAGACCAGGGCCTGGCTGTGAGGCAGGGCTTGGTCCAGGAAGGTTAAAGGGGGCAGGGCTGAGCCTGGGGGTGCAGCATGGCAGGTAGAGCTCCAAGTGCATCTAGAGGAAAAGCCTGTTGGAGACTGACCGTGGCAGAAGACTTTCCGACTGTGGAGTTCCACATGTGGACACTTCTCATAAATACTAACACATGGGGAAAATTCTGTCTTTGTGGCTTAGATGACCTAAAGTTGTATCTTATCTCAAGGGAAAATAATCTTAAGAAAGAATACTGCTTTGTAAATTTTAAATTTTGGGTACATTAAGAAAGTTTTAATGTTTGATCTTAAAAATGGAATAGATTTTTATTTATTTTGATTAAATAAAGATGGGCCTGCAGTGATTAATTTTATATTTAAAGTAACTTTAAACATGTTAGTACGGAAAGTTTTAAACATACAAACAATAATACAATAAATTTGTGTACCATCAGCCTGCGCTGAATCTGTGAGCAGCCTTTTTGTGCTCTGCTGTGCCCGTGCCCTTATGTGCTCCCCCATTCATCCAAAGCTGATTCCAGGTGTCCTCTCAGTTCTGAAATTCAATACAAACTGTTTGAAAATAAATGAAAGCATCAGCCTGTGGTGACAAACCTATGGCTGGTGTGTTACTGTGTGTTTCTTTTAAGACAAAAGATGTTAATAAACGAGGTCCCCCCCCCAAACTAAAGCCTCGGTATTCAGGTTTAATTGCAGTGTTAACACTCATGGTAAAGAAATGGAGGTACAGTTTGGACACTCAGCCTCTAAAGGGTTCGCCATCATAGACATAAGCTTTTAGAATTCCACATAATACATAAAATTCACTTACTTATTTTCATAGACATTTGTTGTTTCCATAGTGAAATAGAGAAACATTTTGCTGCAGTGATTAAATATCCTAGGAAATTCTCTCCTTCCTTTTGTATGTGCCATTGGGAATGCAAAGAGGAGTTAAATTTCAGAAAACACAAGAAATGATGTTATCAGAGTTGCCTTCGTTTGCAATGAAGTGGTACTGTAAGAAAAGAGTGAACATTTTGAATTAAGCTGCTATTACTCCAGTATACTTTGGTTTTTCAGTTGCAATCCATTGGATATATTCAGCAATAAAGTCATATTTCATGTGGTTTTAAGTTTGGTCCTTGTATATCACAGTTACTCAGTTTGATTGGGCACAGAACTAATGAACTGTTCTATTTTTTCATGATTCAGAAATACTGAAAGACTTCAGTAGAGTCAAATAACCTTTTTCACATTTGCCTGCCTTTAGGAAAATACTTAGCATTTGAAAGTATATACAAAACTTGCAATTTTGTAATTCTCAGCTATGTTCTCTAGTGGATCTTTTGTCTAGTATTTGGGTGCATAATATGAATACAGTAAAATGCCATTTAATCCACAAATATTGCTGCTCTACATTGTAAGTGAATCACAATTTTTATTATGTCTTAGATGGTTTACCTATTATTTGCTCAAATTTGGAAAATAATTCCATCCTACCATATGAGTTTTTTTTCTGGCTATAAATAATAGTTAAAAATACAGCAAACATTCTGAATCTGTGTATAATATATGTTAAACTTCATATATTATATTTTTTGTAATTGCTAATAGTGGATTATTTAACTGACCTTTAAAGTGTTTTTTGTTTTTGTTTTTCTCTTTACATTTCTAGGGTATCTCTTGTTAAATTAGCCAGGCAGTCCTGCTTCTGTGGATTGCTCTTTTTCTTTAGTTTTTATTTTGTAAAATCGTTGTCAAAAATTATTTCTTTTCCCTTCTTAGGTTATCTTTTGGACCGTAAAAAACATTGGTTAATGTCAGACTGTTACTGGGAATTTTTGTCTGATTAATTTTATAAGATTCTACTTCTGTGATATAAACAAACTGTTAGTCGAACAAATACAGTTTTTAACTCCTTCAAAGCAAAGTTGTTTTTATAAGATTGCTAAGAAATTCCTCCTCTCACAGTTTTTTCTTTTCATACAGGTCCTCATGCCGAAACCGCCAGCGGATGCCAGAATTTGCAGTGTGGTTTTCGAGCCTGCTGCCGATCTGGCGAATGACCCTTGACTTCTGATCTTTGTCTACATTTAGCTGAGCAGGCTTCCTTTCATGCACTTTACTTATAGCACATTTCTTGTGTTAACATCCCTTTTTGAGTGTGTCTTGTTTTGGCCTCATTTCTTACAACCTCAGAAATCTAAATACCCAGTGAATTGTACAGTGTTGTTTATTATGCACAATATATTTTTGTTTTAGAAAGGTATTAGGGTTTTTCATAAGGGTGAGAACAGTCTTACTAGATTTCTTTTAAACAAAATGCTTCAAAAAGAATGTTACTAGCCAGGCATGGTGGTGCATACCTCTAATCCAGCATTTGGGAGCCTGAGGCAGTAGAATTGCTGTGAATTCAGGTTAGTCTGGCCTCTGTAGTTAGTTCAAGGCCAACCTGAACTACATAATGAGACCCTGTCTCAACAAAAATGTCACTAATGCAGTGCCATTGAAAGTATGGTTTAGATTATTTTAAAGTTGGAAAAAAATTTTCGAGGATTATTGGTTCTTTTTATGTATAAACACTGTACCCAACTTTGCAGGTCATTTCAGACATACATTTCTGAAGTTTTATTTTTAAAGACTGCACATGTTGGAAACTAATCTCTTTTCCATAACTTTTTTTTTATTTGAACAATTATAAGGGGCCAATTCAAGCACACCCACATATGAGATCCTTTGAGATTATAGAACGATTGGCTTTGGAGTGAGCTCAGTGAGCCAGCAGGGCACCAGTTTATTTATATTTGCTTTTGTCCAAAACCCCTGGTTCTACCACTGCCCTAAATTGTCAGATTTGAGAGGGATTTTTAATAATTCCACAGTCATTTGAAGAAATGTATAAATAAAATCTACTTTGAGGACTTTACCAAGTAATACCTTTCGTGTTGTGATTTTATTATAAATAATAGGACCGAGTATCTTGGCGTTTAAGCTTCTGTGAAATCATGTCTGACAGGTAAACAGTTTTACACAGATGAGTACTATACTGAACTGGATTTTCTTTTTGAAAATTTTCTTTTTGAAAATAGTTACTCAGTAGTCAAATTTAAATCTTAAGTTATCTTCATTGCTTTGAGAAAGATCACAAGAGACCACCATTAGAAAGGAGCGTATTGAGTCGATTTTGTCATGCTGTGTGTAGTTTCATTGTGGAAAGAAGAAAATAGTGCCATGCCAGTTTTTAAATACGTGCAAAGCTAAAGAAGAGGAAGATAATCTTGCAGTCGGGTTCTTTGTGACCCCAACTGTTTCTGTTTGCTTAAAGGAGACTAGGAGAGAGGTGAATTGCAGGGAGGTAAGTTACAGTTTAGGCCACGAAAAAACTGTTTCAGACAGCGTTGTGTGAAAATGAAGGAAGAATCATTTGATGAGAATATAAACAAGAATTTTATGAATGCTTTAAAAAATGTTTGATACTGAGAAGGCTTCATATGTGCTAGCCAAGTGTTCTGACTTTGAGCTGCATCTCCATCCTTTAAATGGTTTTATTTCTTAGCACATGTTTGTGTTACATAATGATTTTTGCTGAGGGCATTTGGTCTACAAACATGTCACATCTTAATTCTTTCTAGGTCTCCGTCCCCACCACTTTTTCCCTGCCTTCCCTCTCTTTCATTCCCTTCTTGTTGCAGAAGTTCTCTCTTTTTGTCTTTTATTTTGCTTTTTAATTTATTTATACTTTGGGTTTCTCAGGCAAGAAACTATATGGTATTTAGGCTTACATGTCTGATTTCTTTCACTGAATATTATTGTTCCAAGATGCATCCATTTTCTTGCAAAAGACTCAGATGAGAAAAGGTGTTGCTAAGTTACTGCAGCTGACCCAAACTTGGTGGTCCAGATGCAGGCCTGACAGGAATGCTTTTTAATTCAACTAACGTTTGAACTAAGGGCAAGGGATAATCAGTTCTAACAGGAGCACATCCAGCGAGGCTCTTTTTTAACTCTAAGGATTCTCTCAATTTGATTTCTTTGCAGCTAATATGGTAGGGCAGCTGTGTAAGTATATCTTAGCTTTCCAGGTTTTTGCCTGTAAGCTTAAGTATCATGCCTTCTGTGACACCGCTACACCTAGCCTCCTATCAGTCTAGCTCTGACAGTCAGGAATAAAACAATCAGTGATAGAGGACTTTTATCTACTGTGCATAACATCCCAGATTTGACCCTCAACATGCAAACAAAAATGTTCTTGAGAATGTGAAAGCAAATCTGAGCTTAGTAAACGAAGTTTTAGCTTGTCAGGTTGGCTGTATTTCCTGAAGTGTTTAATAAAGTCTAATTAAAAAGCTGACACCAGGGACCATTAGGAGACACAGACCATGGGAATTCCTGTGGAACGGGTTCCAACCCCGTTCCTCGTCTTTAAGTTGTGCATAGTCTTTCCCTGAGCCAGCAAAGGAAGACTAAGACTAATCAGAAAGCAGTTGTTTTGAGGTAAATTTTTTGATGATCTTCTTGAGAAGAAGTCACGATTAAGGGATGTTTCAGAACTTAGCTCAAATGTTACCCTTGACAAGTGAGTCACCTTTGAGCAGTGTCCCCAGGTGTTCTAGGTGGTGGGGATACTGATGTTTGTGCTTTGCTTATGCTTCTTGATGTTAGCAAACCATTTTGGCAAGCTTGGAGCAGACTGGTAACAGGTCAGCATGTGGTCAGGTTGAAATTCACTGTTTTTCTGCCACTCCTTCCTGCCCTCTGATTGCAAGGGGTCATGGCATAATCTGTGTTTTAAGTTTTGTACGTTGTCCTGGTTTTCATTATAAACGTAAGGGGACAGTTAATATTTAGCAAAACACTGTGTACTTGGTATGACTTTATCTTGAGTTTTGCAATTTCCTTCAGAAGATAAAATGCACCTGTTATATACTGTGCCTTGCATTGCCCCGACAAGCATTCGGTGCTCAGTGTAGGCCCTTGTGGGAGCCCTAGGGCGCCGACCTTTCAGTCTCACGTGGTGCTGTGGAGTTGGTGACACAAGCATTCCCAGCTTACGCATGGGGAATGCGTATAACAAGTTCACTAACTCACTTGTGGAGTACTCAGCTAGTAAGCAGCAGAACTGGGATTCATTAGAAGCTACCCTGTATCCCTATTTTGAGAACTTACAAGTCAGTCATGCAACTCCCTTGAGGAGCTCATGTTAAAGATGGCAGAGGCATCTCACACTTCACTACCGTGTAACTGGGCCGAGGCGAGTGTAAGAGAAGCAAATGCCTCCGGAGGTTGTTTCTTAGTTCTCTCTAATTTTTCTTCTAAAGTGAGACCTGCATTAATAGTTGTCAGCAAGACACTTATTTTTTTGAGAGGGCATGGAGACGGCAACATCAGGAGTAGACATTATTTGTTGTCACTTTGCTGAAGAGAGGAATACAGCTGACATCTTGTGAGTACAGGCGAGAGATGCTGGTAAATGCTTTCAGATTTATTAGTACATGTATAATGTATTCTTCATGGGGCATTGGTAATACACATAGCACTGTTTTTTGAGGCAGGGTTTCACTATGCCGTTGAGGCTGGCTTTGGACTCACTTCGTAGCCCAGGCTGACCTCAAACTCAGCAATCCTATTACAGGTCTGTGCCACTGCACCTGCCTTAATATCACTTCTTAATCCTATTTATTTCCTGTAGGCTTCTGTCCCTAGATTCCCTGACCAGCTGCAAAAAGTCTTATCTGTAAACATCTTTAAAATGTATAGGAAAACTCTTGACAACAACAAATAGTTACTTGGCCTTGGTGCAAGTAATGCTGCTGAGAGAAGATACCTTGCTCTTGTGCTATTTGTTTTGTGTACTGTATATCCTTCCAGATAAACATTACATTGAATTCTTTCTGGTGGCTTAGTGTAATATTATGCAAATGTGTGTGTTAGTCTTCACTAACAGAATGCAGACTGGCTCAGACAACAAAGATGTATTTCTAACAGTGTTGAAGACCTGAAAGTCCAGGATAAGCCCAGAACTCCTGGAAGCCAGCAGACTAGTGTATAGTAAGGGCAGCATTGCAGTTTGCAGACAGCATCTTCTCATTGCCTTACTTGGACAGAGAGGGGAGGGGAGAAAGAAGAGAGGGAGCAAACCTTCCCTGTCTCTTAAAAGGGAACCAAAGCTGCCATGTGAGCTTCACCTCATGACCCAGCCATCTCGAAAGCTTCACCTACATAACCTTCCCCATCATGACTGGGGATTAGGGTTTTGAGATAAGAACCGGGAGCAGGTTATACACACTCTGACAACAGCAGTATCTAAATCTTTCTAAAGGAGATTCCCTTCCTCCCCAGTACTGTCTCGGTGTGTGTGGATGTGTATGTGCACGCTTGTGTATTTCTGTAGGGCAGTGAACTACTCAGTGTTAAAAAATTTGCTACTTCAGAGTTGTCCTTCCTCTAGGAGAGCCGAGATGTGGTGTTATACTGGGTCTTAGAAGTACAATTTTCTGTTCTGGACAGGTAGAGAAGGGTGTCCCAAACAAGGTAAGCAAGTGCAAAGACGGGCACGAAGCTCATGTTGACTCTCCCATGGGCAGTCTCCACTGAACTTGGGAATGGCACGGACAAAGCAGACTTAATAAAAACACGGTTGTACGGGTGGATATATACAGCTAAAGCACTGTTGGAGCCCAGCGAGGTGGCGCAGGCCTATAATCTCAGCACTCAACAGGCCGAGGCAGGATGATTGCTGTGAATTCGAGGCCAGCCTCAGCTACCTAGTGAGTTCAAGACTGTCCTGAACTATGTAGTGAGACTATAAATAAGTTGATAAATAACACAGTTTGAAAATAGGTGATCATAATTTTATTTCATTAACATACTTTCTTTTAGTGCGATAATTTAAAAAATATTTTTGTATGCTTGTTATAGTTTTAAAATGTTACAAAAAGCACAGTGAAAAAATTACCTGTTGCGGATGAGGGAAGCCACATAGATCCAGACAGACAAAACATTTTTAGGGTACGGGTGGATATACACTGCTAAAGCAAACTCAACGTTTGGAACATCAGTATTATGTACTCCAGTGCTGTACACAGCTTCAATTAAAGGCTTCACTTCAGAATAGGGCATATGAAGGGGAAATCCAGAGAACTATAGGGAAAAAAAGTGAAGTTTGAACATGTCAGTATTTCCCTACATGAATCCAGGTAATTCTTGAATCTAGATCAGAAGGTCCTGTGTGCTGTCCGTGATACATTAACAATGCAGAAAATGGGGAGGGATTAGCATCCCAGCTGCTAGCATATTAGTGCATTGAGACGCCTGTTACTCATTCTCCATTGTTCCCTTCGTTCTTCCTAATGATGTGCTGTGTCTATTCCTCGGGTAATTACACAGACCTAGGTCAAGCGAATGATTGCATTCTGCCTCTGGCCATAAAAATTAATCTTTAGGGTGGGCATTTGCTCAGCTTGAGTCTCAGGAAGCGCATACTCCCATCCACAAGGGACGTGTGTGTACAGACCTGAGTCCTGGACCTGTTGTAGAGTTTGCTTCCAGGAGCGAAGCCAGCCTGAGAGAGGTTTTCATGTGGTGGGGCACAGGGAGGAGTGGCACAAGCCTGTGAGCTGCTCACCGCCAGTGTCCCTGAGCTAAACCAGAGCATTTCTACTGCTCAAGCCTCTTGCCATTTTCTGCTACTTGAACTGCAAACATCATCACTGATCCATTCTGGCTATCACCTGTTTTGCTATCGCTGTCTCAGTTATGACATTCTAGGGTTTCTTACCCAGCTAAAGGATGAGAACACACAGCACTACCAGGAGGTAGTAGAAAGGATATATTGTTCATGGGAGTTTTTCTTAGCAGTGAAAAACCCACAGCACAAAACCATATCCTTAAAACACCCGATGTGGATTCTCTTCATGCACAGTTGTCTTACATAGTTTGCAGATGTTCTCATTTTATTTAATGCTTGCTGTGTATTTCATAAAAGTACTGTTTTTCTTAGGATCCTATTAAAAACATAGTGTTCTCACTTTATAGAGACATTGTGTCATTAACGTAGGTTAATGAAGTTTAGAACTTTTACTTTCATGTACTTAGAGCAGCAGTGTAGGTATTTCAGGTAATTTTCAGATTGAAAGGCAAATGCCTCGGCCAGCCTGTCGGTCGTCACGCTTACCCTGTAGTCCCCGAGCTGTTTCTGCAGCTCTGCTCTGTGCTCATCTTCCACGTCTTCTCCTTGGCTTCTTTCCAGCAGGGGCAGGAAGTGGCGCAGGGTGGAAGTGCAGTGCCTGTTCCACCGGGTCAGGTGGCGCGGCCTCCAGTCCATGATTTTTTCCTTCAGCATTTTTTCAATCCTGTTCATAAAACATAAACCCTGTTGTTCAGTGACTTGACTTTTCCCTTGTTAAAAAAGTTTCCACGTGTATTATTTACGACCGTAGTAAATATGGGCTAATCCCTGAGAACTCGAAAGACCAATGATTTCTGTCTTTATGGATTGTGTATAGGGGTGAGCTGTGAAATAAGTGTGTAACTGCAAAGTCTGTGTTATCCTAAGGGCTGTAAAGATGCTAGGAACAGAAAAGGGGACACTGAATAGTGGACCATTAAATCCAATCCATTGGACAGGATATTTATTATTATAAAGCACTGTATCACTTTACTCATTTGGTAATATATATACTAACTGATCAAATCAGTCATAGGACTAGGGCTTCTGTTGAAGTTCTCAAATATGTGTAAGGCTTTTATAGCTTATACTGGTCCCCCCCCGCCCTTCCCCCTCCGGTGACTTTTGTTCATGATGGTATGCTTGCTTAATTTGCCTTAAAACTACCTTTAAAATAGTATCATTTGCAACTTAATTTTTAATATATATCAGTGTTGAATTCATGGGATATGAAATATAGAATGATGTAGTATACCAACCATTTGCTAAGCTCTCGTTTACTGGGAACTCAATTTTTTTTATACATTTTTGTTGAGTCTCTCTACCATAACCCCTGACGTGGAAGATAACGTCCTAATTTTACAGATGGGGGAACAGTTTGAGATAAGTGATTTGACGAAGGAAGGGAGATGACATTCTTGTGTACTCTCTAACCAGATGCAGAGACTTGGAGTTCTGCCCAGCTCCCCCCTGTTCAGCAGCCATAGGATTTCTTTTTTGCCAAGAATCTCTATCTTTTGATTTCAAGATGGCCTGAGCAAAGTACGGGTGACTTGCCAGACACTTTAATACTGAAGAAACAAGTGACTGATAGATAGCGTGTCTGGGATCTTAGAAGAAATAAGAGTCAGTGGAGATAAGTTCTTCTACATAGGGATCCCACATAATGCATTAAGGAGAAATTAATAAATTGGTGTTTTCTAATAATGTCTAAGACGAGTCTTGTGTGACCCTGTGTAATTTGACATAGTTGTCATACAGCTTGATCCAGGGGAAATGGCAAATAGGTTTGGAAAGCAGAAGGACCTGGCTGGGTTTACATACACTTCCTTTAACATTGAATATCTGTGCAGATCACTTCGAACGTCCTTTTCCACATCTGTGAAATTGGGAGAGTAAGTTTGATTTTAGCATGAGAGGAATTGTAGGAACTCAGGCTTTGATCCCCAGCCTTCTCTTTGAGTTAGGTTCATAAACTAGGTGAAGTTTTATAAGCCACTAATTGGACCAAAGAAGCATATTTAAGCTGAGGATTATGATGTGTCTCAACAAGATCTATGATAACAGGATGTTGAGCTCAGGTCTGAGGTAAAGTCTTTGGAGAACTGCATGTTTTTATTAGAGTTCACCTCTGTCTCACACTGTGCTGATGGTAATACACAGTTTGAGCCATGAGGTTTAGAGATCACATCTGTACTTGGTACCTGTAGTCATGGATTTAATTGCCCTAATTGTTCCAGGCAGATCCAGGCTGACAGCTGGGTAAGATTTGATACTGTGCTTCTAGTGACAGATTACTTGTGGGTTTACGGATAAAATGTTACCTGTCTTGTAGTTCAGCTGCAGCTGCTTTATCTGTGCGTTGATAAATTAGTTCTTCAGGCTGTAAAAGAGATCACGGTTTAAAAATGCTAGAAATCACTTATTTTGAATAGTTGTACTTCTAATTTTTTAATTATGAAATCTCAGATATTGAATAAGATACTAGCAGGGATGCTAGTATATCCATGAGCATCAGTAAAGCATCACAGACATGTCACAGCACTTGGCAGTTCTTCCTCAGTTTCATTTTCTTTCTCTCATCACCATGCCCTACATTTGTTTTTAACATCCCCTCATCCAGCATGTAAACGTGCACCGCTGCCAGGCCCCTTCACAGGTCCTCGTGGTGCTCATGTGACTGGCACGTTAACCAGATACATGCGTTCCTAGCCAGCATAATGTTTTGCAAGTTTTCTGAATTTTAGTACTGTTTTATGAATGTGCCATTTCCTTCTTCTCTAAACATTATACAAGGGGTAATGGTAAACATAGCTTTAGAATGCTAAGGTTTATAATGCAAATTCATTTAATCACTATAAAATATTCCATGAAATATGATAATTGATTTACCATTTGGAGTCCTATGCTATTTCAAACCATGTTCCAATGAAAAATTGTATGTATGTCACTTCCCATAGGAAAAGTTCCTTTAGGGCAGTGTTTTTCAAAAGTTTTTTAACTGGCTATGCCAAAGTAAAAAATAAATAAAATTACAAACCCAGTAAGACATCTAGCTTATTACTAGACATACTAGCTTATTGAAACTTATTCAAGTTTCAATAGCAGTTTTGCAACCAACTTAGTGGGTGAGACCAGAATTTAAATAAACACTTTAAATAAAATAGAATATATTTTGTGGCTCTTTGTATGTCATGGGACTTTTTACATCAAAACTTTTTCTGTCCTATATTTTAAAATATAACTGGTTGCATAATAGGTAAACAAATGTTCTGTAGTAAGGTTGGCTCAAATAAGTACAAAAACAATGCTATTCTAAATTAAATAAAATTAAGGGTCAAGAGGTATCTCGTTACTTCTATGATGATTTCCTATCCTTTACTTTCCTAGTATTTAATTGTTAATAAAGGAATTATACCTGAACACTGGAAAGGCCAGGATATGGAAGGCTTCTTGAAAAAAAAGATTTCCATAGCTTGGGCTTGGTGACATCAAAGTTTATCCTTAGTGGAGAGTCATACTGTTGAATATTAAACCAAATCTAAAAAAGAAAAAAAACTACATTAGCATATATGTTAACAGATACCATATATATTTGATTTATATATATCTATTATATACATACAAAAACATGTGAATGTGATACAAAGATGGCAGGTATTCACGCAGCAGCACACTTTCTTGGTTATTTTTTGATGTGTAAAATTTCTATCCACCTTGCAATCAGTGACATCATACAGTTGTCAGTGGTGTTTTTTTTTTTTTTTTACGTTTTTGGCACTTGAAGTTAGGTGTACATTATTACTGATTGTAGGTTTGTATTGTTTGTATTGATTATAAGTTAGATCCTGACTATGACACTTAACATTTTTAGGAGGCAGCAAGGCCCCTTCTTTCTTAGCTTTCCTGATCTTGTCCTTCTCAGCTTCCGCATCGACTTGTTTGTCCACTTATTTGTTTCCACAAAAGTGCAGTGTCTGAGATGGAACTTGTCATGCTGAGTAGGAGAGCATATTGAATCTGGAATCAGACCATTTGCATGTGAATTTTGGTCCCAGCATTTATGTAGCTTCTGAGTGCCTCAGTTTCCTCCTTATAATATAAAACTGGGATGAAAATAATAACTACCTCATAAGGTTGAACAATGCTTGGAACATAGTAAGTGTTCAATAGTTTTTGGCTGTTATAATTATTAATCATTGGTTGTAACTTCGTCACCCTCTAATTATGGCTTGAGAACATTCATCAGATCCCTTACTCACCATGGGATCTTTACCATCTGACATAACTCCTGCCATACCATAGTCACATTGAGTATGTGCGTGAATGGTGAATTTGCCCATGCAACATAATTAATCGTGTCCACTCAGTATATTCAGTTGAGTACCTGCTCAGTTCTAATCATTGGGAATAAAGTAGTAAAACAGTCCTACCCTCACGGGATATCTAATGAGGTATACAGAAGAAAATAAAGGAGTAAATACATGGGCTATCAAGTGGTATTGAATGATGTAGCAGAATGTATCATTGGCCCCAGTTCTTCACTTCTTCCTGAAAGCATCTTTCTCACATTATTTTTCAGTTCTTCCACCAAAAGGGAAGAAACATACTTTCCTCTTCCTGAGTGTTGGCCAGTAGACAGGGATGGGAGTTTCAGTGTCACCAATCTAAGCTTAGGGCTTTGTGTGTTTGTACCAACATTTCTGTGCCTCTTCCATTGGCCCTGGCCACAGCCCCAGAATGAACACACAAAGCAGGGCTGGCCCATCACCCCACAGGCCTGCAGTGAGAAGCAGCGCTGCCCGCCCTGGATGTGCAGACCTGCAGATCAGTCCACAGAAATAGGGGTTCGGAGGTGTTCAGTTTGGGGAGCCATTTTTACTGTCCCCATAGTGGCCACAGCTAACTGTAAGGGCTATGGAGAAAGCTGACCTGCGGAAGCAGGCGGAATTGTAGTGTAAGCAGAGAATTGTAGTGTTGGCATATAGACAGCATTTCTAGGAAGAGACTATAGATAGAAAAGAGGTTTGTTGAACTCTGAGAATCTTCCGTGTTTCAAATTTGAACAAATAAGGAAACATCAGTAAAGGATACAGAGAAGTGATACCGGTGAGGTAGAAGGCCTGGGTTAGTTGGAGGTGTAATCGGGATTATTTGAAGAAGATAATGTCTTTAAGAACTAATGTTTGACTGTTGGGTAGGGAATGTGTAGCAGATTCGTAGGGGATAACACTAATGTGTAAAGGTGGCCAAGGTCAGATTCTATGAGGTTTTGAAATCTAAGGAGAGAAGCTTCCTCTTATATCTGTGTGTAATGAAGTACCTCATACCTTTGAGCCATACAATGATGAAAACTGAACACTAGAAACTTGGTTGACACCAGTATATGAAATTATGTGACCCAAATTGGAAACTTTTAGTTGGATACTTACAGTAACCTAGGGTAAAACAGTAATACCGTGACCTAAGAAACAGAAACAGCAGGGTGAACATCATTTGGTATTAAGACTAAAGTGAACAGTAAGAAGAGCTAAAAAGGACAGTTTTGGGGTTTGAATCTGGGTAGCTGCCATCCGCAGAGATAGGAAGACAAACTGGTTTTGGAAGCAGAAGAGAAATGGCTTAAAGTTTAGCTGTGTGGACTTGGAGGTTTTGGTTAAGGGTCTGTAGCAAATAGTTTGTAATCTGAGACTCAAAAGTTCCTGAGGTTCAACAAGTGTGGTAGGCTGAAACAGGAGGATCAGTGCAAGTCCAGCCTGGACTACATAAGCTGTTTCTTAGGAAAAAAAAATAATATATATATGGGGCCCTTGACAGAACTATGACTTTTGCTAGGATTCATTAGATAGTCACATAAAGAATAGGTATCTTGAGGAAAATATAAATGCAGAAATCTTAGGAACATCTATTTTTAAGGTGTGGGAAGAAAAGAAAATGGAAGAAACAAGAAGCTATTGCAGGAAGAATTAAAACCACACTGTTTCATCAGTAAACCAGAGTGAGGAAAGTGTTTTTTTCATGAAGTAATAAGCCATGCTTTATTCACAGAAAGAGAAGAATGAGGGATGAGGGAAAGTTGTTGGATTCACTTCTTCACTAGTGAGAGAATGCTACTTCCTGGAGTTTAATTTCTGTAGTTTGATTAGGAAAAGAAGCTAGATTATAGCGGCAAAGGTCTGACTGTCCTGACGAAATGGAAACAGGCAATAATGTCGTGTTTGAAGAATTCTGGAAGGAAAGAAAAATGTTACGGCTTAGATCTGAAATGCCCTCCGTAAATGTAGTATCTGGAGACCAAGCCTGGAAAGGAGGAGAGTCACTGGGGATGTGGCCCGGAAGGGTGGAGCCTTGTCCTGCCTCCTCCCTGTACCTTCACTCTTGGCTTCCCGGTGGCCCTAGACTGAGCAGCTTGCCTCCAGGATGTTCCTTTCTTGGAGTCAGGTCTACCATGGACTGACACCGTGAGCCAAATTAAACTTCTCCTTCATGATAGGTTGTTGGGTGTTAATGAGAAAGCTGATCCATACAGTGGGAATGGTAGTTCAGGGTGGATCCAGATTGGAAGAAGCAGGTTTGAGAAGTTTTGGATTCTTGAGCATGTAAGTAGAGAAGGGAAAAATGTTGGTTTAGTTGGTGGATCTAACTAAGTTTTGGAACAAGAGTGGAAAGGTAAGAAGCTTATGTCTTATAAAAAAAAGAGCAAGGGGAAAAAGACCGATCATCCAAAGGGGTATTGGGGTGAGTCAAGAGTACCCGCGGTTTGGGAGTGCCAGGCTGTACTCACTTCAGCAGCACATACACTAAAATTGGAGGTGCCAGGCTAACACAGCATGTGGGCCTCCACTGAGAGTAGCCAAGGCTGAGGGCACCATGAGCTCAGCTGCCCCGGGATGCACTGTGTTGCAAGCTACTGTTGTCTGTACCAGTGGAGAAGAGACAGAGCTTTCTTCCTCCCTCATAAAACACTGACTGCATGAGAACTAGTCAGCCGTACAGTGATTGTCTTTAGAGCTGGTAATTTTGGCAGAAAGTAGAGTTCTGTATACGATTTTTGAATGCCAATTAGTCCTGCTTGATTACTTATGACCTTGAAGTGATCCTCTAAACGCAAATGAAGCTTACCAAACCATTTATAATTTTGATAATGACTTCAATTAAAATAATAATTAATGTGAATAGAGCTCCACTGTGCTTTTTTCATATTTTGTAATTAATGATAGCTTCTGTTTGAACAACCATGAAAGACAGGTACTTTTCTGGGTGTTGGCATAAATTAACTCTGATTTTAGCAGCAACCCTAAAAAAGAGGCCAGTTGTCTTCATAGTATAGTACATACCACAGGGATAGAGAATAAATTATTAGATTTGCTAATTATTTATATTATTTATGTTTTAATGTAAAAGAGTGAAATGTGTAGATATATGTAGTTTATAACTTTTATCTGTATATGCCCCCAAATCCTTAGGCACTCATAGATGGAGCCTTTGGGAGTCAGCTGGATCATGGGTGTGTGATACTGGGGATTATGGATGTGATAACTGGGTCCTTCTGCTGATTGGTTTAGCATAATTGTGGGTGATGGAATCACTGCAGAGAGAAGCCCCAACCTGGGTGTGTGTGGCACCAACCAATAGACTTGTAACCTGCATGTATAAAGAGAAAGAAGGAAGGCAGGTTTGCTGCTTCCTGCCTCCTGCTTCTGGCCTGCCCTGCCATGGACAGTCCTCTGCCACGCCCCTCTGCCATGCTGCCCTGCCTTGGAGCCAGGCGACTATGAACTGAAAGCTTTACAAATTATGAGCTGAAACAAACCTTTCCTGCTTTAACTTGTAGGTGTTTAGTATTTTGCAAGAAAGTAAGACAACCAAAAGTTTCATTTGGGACCATTCAGGTGACTAATTCTACTACCATCTTTGCTACATTTTAAAAATTGGTGTATGTTTGAATATGTGTTTATCACATTTATATACAATTTTTATATATTATTATTATTTAAATGGCCAGTTAAAAAAATAGAAAGTGATTCAACATGGCCTAATAGAGGAAAAACCAAATAGGAGTTAAACAGAGAAAATAATCTAAAAACACAAATAAAACATGGGAAGAAATATCCCTATGCCAAAATCAATCTGAAACAAGAGACTTGTAGATAAAACATTGGCACAGGACTTTATAAAATGGCAAAGTGGCCCACATGGCTGCCTTTGCGACCTCTACCTGCATGCAGAACCACTCTTCTAGGAAGTTCCTAACACAGCTGAGGGCAGGGTATGGTGGCATGTGCACACCTGTAATCCCAGCACTTGGGATGCTGAGGCAGGAGGATTGCTGCAAGTTAGAGGTCAGCCTGGGCTACCAGGTGAGTGAGTTCAAGCCCAGCCTGAACTACATAGCCAGACCCTGTCTCAAAAACAAACAAAAAACACAACAATTGATGGCCCGAAATAGCATGGCAAACTCACGCCGCACAGGATAGATTTGGGATATAAACCCCTAGCCTCTTTTGCCTTCTTTCAAACAGGATGTTGGCAGTCTGGCAG